TACGACGCAGCGCTCATCGACGGCCTCCTCCGTGACGTGGCGGCGCCTCTGCACCTCCAGTCGCTGCAGATCACACTCGATATGCTGTCGCACATGACGACGTTGGGGTCCAGCCGCGCGCCGTGCTGGGCAGCCAGCTTTGCGGACCGCTTCATGTCGCTTCTGGACCAGTACCAAGCCGACGTCCCCAACGACATAGCCACGTGGGAAGCAGCGACGTCGTCGCTGACGACGGCACGCGACAAGCTGAGCGACGAGTGCGAGGTGCAGTGGTCCACGCTCGTCGCAGCGGAGACGTCGTCGTTGTCCGTCTCGCGCGCGACGCTGCTCGTCGAACTATTGCGCACGTTGGATGCGCTGCATCTTCTGTCTCAGTCCGTCCTTCCCGCGATGACGGCGCTGTCGACCGACCAGCAAGAAGACACGGCGGTCCTGCGGCGGCACTACAAGCTACGCGAGCCGTTGCCGCTGGCCGAGCGCAGCTTTGTGCCCTGCGTGCTCGCCGACGCGGACGTGTACTGTCTCCTCAACGCCGACCTCTTTGTCGTCGTGCGACCAGACGCGGCCGACCGGACGTTTGGGCTTGTGACACACTTGCACCCACTGCACGCGGTCGCAATCGAGGTCGACGAGGCGCACTTGCGCGTACGCAGCGGCGGCGACAGCGTCCACCTCGCGTTCCCGATGGCCGAGATGCGCGACCAAATGGCGACGCACCTGCTCGCGATGCAGCAGCAGCAAGTGGCGAGGAAGACGGACGCCATCCAGACGCTGTTAACGCTGCGTGTCGCCGTCTCCTAGTCCATGTCCTCGGATGTATAGTTATCGGATGCGATGTCACCATCACTCGACCGTGTTGCCTGTCTATGTGAAAAGGCGGTTGATGGCCAGTGCTACGGTAGTCTCGGACGCCGCACCGGTCGTCGCCGCAGGGGCTTCCTCACTACGCCGGTCGTCGACTGCAGTAGCAAGCTTGCACCGTGTGGTCGTGACGTCGTAGAGAATAGGACGACGGGCATCGACCTCGCCCGGCAGCTACCAAAGAAGCCAGCCCCGCGAACGTAGCACGCATCATCATGGGCGGAGGCGTGTAATGACCGTCACGTTGAACTTGATGCGTGATAACCCAGCGTCCTGGCTCACGAGCGCGATATCAGACGCTGCTTGCGTCGACAAGAAGACGACTACGTAAGCGTCGGGAGGCCTGTTTCTGAACGGCACCGCAGTGTATCTCGGTGGCGCTGGCTACTTCTAGGTCGCTGCATAAGCGCGCTGGGCAAATGGCGACCGAGACACCGCAGTGAGCCCGACCTCGAAATGGCGTAATCGCCTTCGCATACCGTCTTGGCGTGTGGCGCTGCCACGTATTCGCAACCGTAGGCTTTTTGTCGCCCTTTTTCTCCAAAAAAGAACTAAGGCAAATTTCAACTTGGATTTCGAGGATTTCGAGAGGAAGTTACCTACGGTGTAGTGCCTACGGTACTTCGCTGAAAAGAAAGGCCACGTCTGCATCTTTGGGTCAACTTGTCTGTCGACCTGGGACGTGACACGACTGACCGACGTAAATGCGAATTGCGTCGACGCAAAAGAGGCGGGGGCGCATGTCGCGAAGGAATCATCTTGTTCTGTGCGACGTCTGATATATCAAGCGGGTCGCTCACTTGGGAATTTGCGGCGTCATGGAGTCGAGTCATCCGTGCTTGTACCGCAACAAGGTCTGCCTCCTCCCGCGCGCCGTCAAGAAGAACGGACAGCTCCACAGCCTCTGCGAGTTCCACCGCGTCAAGGCGAATCTCAACCAGCGCCGCCTCGAGAAGAAGAAAAAGTCGACGAGCCGCCCGCCCGAAACCCACAGATCGGGCTGCAAAGAGCTCTGGGTCGACCCTGTCGCCTCGAGCGACGACGACGACTGCGACGATTTCGACGACAGCCAGGACGCCGACCACGTCATTTGGGCCGAGCCCATCAAGCTGCCCGTGCCCTCGTCTTCCTAGTCGCACCGTCGTATAACCTATTTAACCAGCGTTTACCCTCTTCCTCGAGAAGACGTTGGCGTCATGGAAACGCAGTTCCTGAAGTGGTCTATCCAGTCTCGATACAAGTACGACTACGTGGTCGCTTGACGTAGCGGCGACAACGACGGCTCGACTGCTACAACGACTACTAGTCGTCATTTCGTTTCGAGTGGTGTAAATCGTATGGAAACGAGTTAGTTTGTTAGTTGATCATACGGCGGGGTTGCGGTGCATGTACGGGAGGTTGCTCGTGAGGTGCTTGTTGAGGAGCCGCGTCCCGCTCTCTTCGTCGTGTGTCACAACGTGCGGCTCGGGAATCGAGTCGAGCGACAGCTTTTGCTCCGCACGCTTGGTGAGCGCGAGCACCGACTTGGTCGAGTGCACGGACCGGATCGATTTGCATTCCGAGAGGACCGTCTACGTCCATTCGAACGCATTCGATGAGCTACGTAGATAGAGCCAGACGCACCGATGCCACGCTCTTCGAGTCATCGTCGTCGTCGTTGTCCTTGGCGTCGCGGGCGCTTAGCCGCGCGAGCGTCGCCGCGTTGAGGTACTGCCGCTCCAGGCTCTCTTGCTGGAGCCGCTCGCGGACTTCGCCCTTCTTCTCGTCGGCCTCTTCTTGGTTGACGAGCTCCTGGAGCTGCGCGAGCTGCTCGTCGACCTGGGCGACTTGGGCCTTGAGCTCCACGTCACCCAGGAAGGTGTCAATGTCGAGGTTGTTGGCAAACGCTAAGAGGTCGTCGACGCTGTCTTCATCCTGCTGGTCGCGCTTGCTCTCGGCCTTGTCCTTGGTCAACGCCCACGCTGGCCGCGAGGCCAAGACGCCCTTTTCATCGTCGTCTACATCGCCTTAAACCCTCGGCCGATAAGTGTCATGGGTGTACCTTGGGGTCGCTGGCGGATCTTGGCGCGCAGATCGGCTTCGCGCTTGGCAAACCTAGTGGTGTGTTTTAGTCATTGGAGTATACTTAGTGTGATGGATACTTGTCCTTGCGGGAGTCTTTGGCGGCTTCGTCCTCGAGCAGCGCCGACTCGAGCCGGTCGCGCTCCTTCTGGAGGTCGTGGAGCCATTTCTTGTGCTTGGAGAGCGCCGTGTTCTTCTTATCGCGCTTCACCGCATGCTAATACTTGCGTGTGAGGCAGCGATACTGATGGCATCCTTAGGGCACCGGTGGCTCGTGGAAGATGGGGACGTTGGTGCCGATGGGCGCGGGCTGGATGCCACCGAGGAACGGACCTTTCTTGTCGACGGCGGCGACCTCCTTTTGCGCTAAATAAGCTGGCGTCAGCGAGGCTCGAAGTGGCGACGAGGTACTGGAGCTCACGCTGTTGAAGGGCCGGTTGCAGAGCATGACGCCCTTGTAGTTGCCAATGTTGACGCTCGCGCCCTCCATGGTTCAATGTGCGAATAGTCGGTCAAATGAGTGAATTTGCTTTGGGACTCAAAACGCCCCTATAATTAGCTACCGGATCAAGCAGACTACTAACTAACTAACGTTAGAGACACTGACTAGCTAGCTAGTTGAAGGGGACGGACGAGGCGCTGAGCGATACGAACACCGACTAACGTTAGTTGAAGAGCTCGTTGAATTGAATACTAGCGCGGAGTGTCCACAGAGTCGAGCTTTGACTTTTTGTGTTTACAGTGTTAGCTAACTAGTGCTTTAACTAAAACGAGTAATCGATAAGCAGCCCTCATCACAACGCGTAAAGGGCTTCGAGGATGCATGTGGCGGGAAGATGCACTGCGATTTGACGGGTCTTTAGTCTTTTCGGGTAAACGAGTTTTAACACCGCCGTCTAGTCCATCACGACTAACTTGGTATTTTGGTTGATGGACAATACTGTCGTCGGTGATGTATAATGCTGTCGGGGGCGGGCTTGTCGATGGCCGAAATGGCGGTGGCGGGAAACACGCGTGTTCTTTTATTAATTCTTTTATGTCTTTTAATGTTTAAAGCACGACCAGGGACAGGGCAATTTATCCGGTTCCCGCCGGGAGGGCGGTTTCGCGCCCGTTTTCTCTTCACGTGGGAAACGTGCATTTTACGTGAGAAGCGTGAAAAACACACGTGGGAATTTCTTTCGTTCTTCATCCCACTATACGCGCGGCGCGCGCGGTTTTTTAGGCCTGCGACGTGTGAAACGTCAGCGTGTTTCCAGCCACCACCCGGGCTTCGAATTTCCGCATACGGTATCCGGATGATTGACCTCGCGTTTGATTGGTGGAATTGCGCGGCGAAATCCAAATCCCGCGATCTGATTGGTCAAAAACCTGTGGCCCGCGCACCGAATAATCCGGTCCAAAGTTGATTTGGGTTTCGTAGTATAAAGTCCTGCGATGAAGCGAGCGCACGACGACGAGGACGGGCGCCGGGCCAGCGCATGGACCGGCTGGACGCGCGTGCTAAAGCATGTCCCGCTGCTAAGCTCCTTCCTAGGCGACGAGCATGAGCCCGCGCCGGCGCCGCCCACGCCGACGCGCCGCCCCAAGTCGCCGCTCAAGACGACGCCGCTCTCGCCGGCGCGCCGGTCGGGCTTCACGTTCGCCCGCATTGGCCTCAGCGACGACCAGCCCGAGACCGAGACCAAGGCCGAGCCGGTCTTTGAGTTTACGCGCAAGACCAAGACGCCACCCAAGAAGGCCCGCAAGGTGCTCGACTCGAGCGTGCACGACCAAGGCAACGACGACGAGCAGTATGTGCCCGGCACGTACTCGGAGCCTGTCGTGCGGTACGCGCGCGCGCGCACGGACGAGCCGCTCGTGCCGATCAACTTGTTTGAAGAACGGCCGGCCAAGCAGGCCAAGCTCTCGCGCGGCGCGTTGATCAAGTCGTATGCCCTTTCTCGCGAAGAGCGCCGCCTGAAGCGCCCGGCGCCGAGCCGCCTCCTCGCAGCGCAGTCGATGGACGAGCGCCAAGAGCACGCCAAGGCCGTCACGGACCGCATCCTCGCGACGCTCCAGGCCCTCGAGTCGGACCCGCTCGCGCAAGAGGCCAAGAAGCCGCTCCCGAGCATGAGCATGTCGTGGAAGAAGTACCATCTCGAAGTCCAAGATAACACGGCGACGACGAACGACGTGGATATGTCGAGTAAGAGCCCCAAGACCGCGTTCCCGACGCAGAGCCTGCCCATCTTTGCTCCGCAGCCGCCGGTCGTCCAGCCGCCGACGTCCGTGGCGCCGCCGCCCGTGCTCACGACCGTGACCGTTGCCTCGACGCCTGCTCCGTCGGCGACGCCGGCTCCGGCGGTCTTTGTTGCGCCCAAGCCGGCGACTACCAGCGTGCGCAAGGCCACCGGCAACGTGTTTGCTTTTGGCCTTCCGCCCAAGGACACGGAGTTTACGTCAAAGGAGTCGCTCCTCAACGTACCTGTCGCGTACGCCTTCTCCAAGCCGCCGTCGATGAAGGTCGCCCCCGTGAAGGCGCTCACGTCGCAGAAGCCGGCCGTGCAGCCCGTGCAGGTCGTGCCCACGGCGGCCCCGGTCACGTCGCCGCCGACGTTCTCGAAGTCGACGGCACCTACAACGACGAGCACCGGCTCCAACCCGCTCGACAAGTTTAAGCAGTCGGCGCCCGGCGGCTGGAAGTGCCCGTCGTGCTACGTCGCCAACAAGGACACGCAGGTCAAGTGCCCGTGCTGCAACACGGACAAGCCGTCGGCTGCGCCCGTGGTCGCTGCCCCTGTCGCTCCGTCGATTACTGCACCCGTGGCGTCGACGTCGGCGCCGGCGCCGGCCATGGACAGCAGCAACCCGCTGGCGCGCTTCTTGGTCCAAGCGCCCGGGACGTGGCAGTGCCCGGGATGCAAGGTGCACAACAAGGCGGCGCAGGCCAAGTGCCCGTGCTGCAACACGGACAAGTCGACGGCCGAGCCTGCCCCGGTGGTCACCAGCGAGCCGGAGTCGAAGAAGAAGCGCAAGGCCTCGGACGACAGCAACAGCGCGCCTGCCAAGACGACGTTTGCATTCACGGTACCGACGACCGATGCCTCGGCGCCGGTTGATGTCACCGACAAGCCGCTTCCGACCTTTGGCTTTAGCGCGCCGGCGGCCAAGACTGCGGACGCACCGTCGGCTGGCTTTTCCTTTGGCATCTCGTCGACCGACAAGCCGACCGACAAGCCTGCTGCGGGCTTCAGCTTCAGCGCTCCCGCGGCCGACAAGCCGACCGACAAGCCCGCCGCCGGCTTCAGCTTCAGCGCTCCCGCGTCGGAGAAGCCGACCGACAAGCCCGCCGCCGGCTTCAGCTTCAGCGCTCCCGCGTCGGAGAAGCCGACCGACAAGCCAGCTACGGGCTTTGGCTTCAGCGCTGCGACGACCGACAAGCCAGCTACGGGCTTTGGCTTCAGCGCTGCGACGACCGACAAGGCAGCGGACAAGCCTGCTGTAAGCTTGGGCTTTGGCGCGTCGACGGCCGAGAAGCCATCGACGGGCTTTGGCTTTGGTGCCTCGTCGCCTGCGGACAAGCCGGCGGAGAAGTCCGCGACGGGCTTTTCGTTTGGTGCTGCCGACAAGCCGGCGGACAAGCCTGCTTTGGGCTTCGGCTTTGGTGCCACCACGTCGGCCGCCAAGCCGGATGAGAAGAAGACGGCAATGAGCTTTGGCTTTGGTGTCGACAAGCCCGCGGATGCCGCCGCCAAGCCGGTGGAGGCGGACAAGCCCGCAGAGAAGGCGACCATGTCGTTTGGTGCATTTGGCGCGACGGCCGACAAGGCGACGACCAGTTTTGGCTTTGGCGCGGCGACGCCCAAGGACATGACCGAGACGCCTGCGGCCCCAGCACTCTCGTTTGGCACGGCGTCCTCTGCGCCGCCTGCCGACAAGGCGCTTTCGTTCGGTACCGACAAGCCCACGACGTCGCCATCCTTTACGTTTGGCGCCAACAAGACAACGGCAGAGGCACCTGCCCCGTCGACGTCGTTCAACTTTGGCGCGTCCAAGCCGACCGACTCGTTGGGTGCATTTGGCGCGACGGCCGACAAGCCGGTGACCGCATTTGGCGACAAGCCCACGTTTACGTTTGGCGGTGCGTCGACCGAGAAGCCTGCGTTCAGCACGCCGGCGACGACGGAAGCGACTCGCAACGCGACCTCGTTTGGCTTTGGCAGCAGCGCCCCAAGCGCCACGACGACCTTTGGCGCGCCGTCGTCGGCTTCGGCCTTTGCGTCGCCGTCGCCCACGACCGCCTTTGGCGCTGCACCACCGGCGGCGTTCAACCCCACTGCCTTTGGTGCTGCACCGGCCGCGACGCCGGCGTTCGGTGCCCCAACGGCGTCAACGGGCTTTGGCTCGTCCTCGGCGTTTGGCAGCAGTGCTCCTGCACCTGCCTTTAACGCTGCGCCGAGCTTTGGCGCCCCTGCTCCTGCAGCGGGTGCTGGCTTTGGCGCGGCGCCGGCTCCCTCGGCTTTTGGCGCCCCGACGGCGTTCGGTGGCAACAACAACAGTGGCTTTGGCGCGCCGGCGGCCTCTGCATTCGGCGGGGCCCCGGCGTTTGGTGCGCCAGCGGCCAATGCTTTCGGTGCTGCTCCTGCGGCTCCGTTTGGCGGCGGCTTCAACGCAGCGCCTCCTGCTGCTGCGGGGGGTTTCTCGATGGGCCAAGCGCCGCCCAAGCAAGGCGGCGGCCCGCGTCGTATTGTGCGGGCGCGCTCGGTACGCAAGTAGGTAAAACAAGTAATATTAATATAACACGCAGCGGGGTTTGCCCTGTCCTCGGTACGACGCTGGCTTTGGTGCACTTGTGAAGCGAGCAGAGGTTGAGGGTCCTTGGATCGGTCCATCGTCAGTCTGGTCGTTGGTCGCTTTCACCAACAACCGTTGCGGCAGGAGCAGGCTGCCGACTGGACCTGCAGAAGGTACTAGTATTGGACTTGGTCGTGCTCGCAATTTACAGCGCTGTCGACCCTGTCGGCTCAGCGTTTGGACGGCTACGCACTCGGGAAACGCTAGCAAGAAGTGAAAGGTATCGAGACCCCATCCACCGACACCAAGTTTATTCATCAACAATCACGTGGGAGATGAATGGATTCAGGAGCAACATGTGATTCCTTGGCACCGCAATAGCTACGGCAATCCTGTGCAATCCTGTATCAACCTTGCCAATATGACCCTGCAGACTGCACTTTGCAATTGAATATGCTCTGCGCGTTCGTCGCCACGGCGCTCGCTGTCTTTGCTTCTGCAGCCCCCGTCACGGTCTACGATCGCTCCGACTTGAACGGCTACGCGCTCAGCTTGGACGTAGCAGGGCTCACGAACTTGACAAGCAGCTGGCAAAATGACATCAGGTCGGTCCAAGTGCAGCCCGGCTACGTCTTTGTGACCTACTCCACGGAACTTTGCGACTTGCATTTGACGGCTACCAATGCGCTCTTCTACATGGAGTGGATGAGCTCAACACCAACTCTTGGCCGCATCTGGCAAGCCCAGGCCGAATCCTACGAGGTGCGCCGGACCAGTGCTACATGAGCACGCACGAACGAAGACGACTACCTCGTCGTTGCGGCGCTGTACACCAACGTCAACTACAAGGGCGGCGTGCTGCTGCTCTCGACGGGCCAGAAAACACTCAAAAGTGGTTATTCCAACCAAATCTCGTCGATCATGGTCGCTCCCGGCTACACCATGACTGCCTCCAGTGCCGACGGATCAACAACAACGTTCACGGAAGACTCGAGCAGCCTCAACAGCATCTGGGACAAAGCCATCGTTGCCGTGTCGCTCGCTCGCACCATCACCACGACGCCCGTGGTGACTACACTGCCATCGGTGACGACAGCCGCGGTGACAGCCTCACCCCGGCCGACAAGTGCACCCCAGCCAACGAGCATGACGGTGACAGCGACGTCGCAGCCAGCCGCGATTACGGCGATAGCTACGCTGCAGCCAGTGATCACGACGACCAACGACAGTACGCCGTCCATGACTGGCATGACGTGGTTAATGACGTGGCTTCATAGATACGACCGTCATTGTCGGCTGCAGCGCGGCCGTCGTCATCGCCATCTTAGTAGCTGTCTTCTTCGTTTTGCGATCCAAGAAGAACAAGAAGAAGACGACCTCCATCAGCCTCGTCGAGCCCTTCATCTCGACCAACCAACAGCGCAACCCCAACGCTGGCCTCATCGACCTCAGTGGCCTCTACAAGGTCCGCCTCGACCAAGCAATGCTGCACCTCGACTGCGTCCTCGGCTACGGCTCGTTCGCAGCCGTCTCCAAGGGCTCCTACAACGGCATTCCCGTTGCTGTCAAGCAACTCCAGAGCAGTCGGCGGTCCAACGCCGACATTCAGAGCTTCGTCAACGAGATCGAACTCATGGCTCGGTGCATTATCACATCTCTCTACTCTTTCTAAACCAAGGCGTAGGTTCAACTCGGCCCACATCATCAAGCTCATCGGCGCTGCTTGGACAACCCCGATGGACTTGTGTGCGGTCATGGAGCTCATGGACCAAGGCGACCTCAAGGACTACTTGGCAGCGCATGACGCCAGCGTGTACACGTGGGCGATGAAGCTCGAGGCGCTGCGGGGAATCGTCGACGGTCTCTCGTACCTCCACTCGCTCAACATTGTCCACCGCGATCTCAAGTCCCGCAACGTGCTGCTGGACTCGGTCAAAGGCGTCAAGATCGTCGACTTTGGTGTCGCCAAGGAAGACGTCCAAGGCACCATGACGATGGGTGTCGGGACGTTCCGGTGGATGGCCCCCGAGGTCCTTCTTGAGAGCGCGTACTCGGTGGCGGCCGACATGTACTCGTTTGGTACGACAACTATCTTGGTGGACTAGTTCTTATTCTTTGCTAAGGCATGCTCCTCTCAGAGTTTGACTCGCACCACATTCCGTACCAAGATTTGACCAACCCGACGACGGGCAAACCGCTCGCCGACCCTGCGATCATCGGTGGCGTCTTGAACGGCTCGACCAAGCCGACGTTCAGCGAGACGTGCCCACTTTGGGTCAAGACGTTGGCCGACGCGTGCCTTCAGTTCCGAGCAGTCGACCGCCCAACGATCTATGACGTGGCAGCAACGTTGGCCAAAGTCCAAGTGACCTGAGTCTGCCATTTAATGATGCTCCTAAACCCATTCAATGCATACAGTTTTTATAGTTCAATCTTCGTGATAACCACAACCTGTCTGTGAAACTCACTTGAACCCTGGCCCTATATTGACAAGCAATTTCCCGATGGCAGTGTCCGAGTAGCTTCAACGAATGACCTAAATGGGCATAACAGATTCAATCGACTACAGACAACTAAGTGCGCGCCGTACACGCAGGTGGTTTTGCCAGCACATGAGTGGCTCGCCCTTCGAGCCTGTCATGAAGACGTCATCTCGATTCCCATAATCTTTGAAAGTCAACGAGCGTCGCATTGGCTAACGTCGCAGCCGTGTGCATTTCGGGTGAGAAGCCACGCGTGCAAGGCATTGTACTCGGCACGACTGAGCGGCGGCGGCACCACGCCGTCGCCGCCGTTGAGCCACATGTTGGGGTTTTGGCGGCCGCTCTGGGGGCTCTGGTCGGCCACAAATACCTGGTTACCCAAGGCTCTCAGCTCCTGAAGCGCGCTGCTAAAGTTGCTCAGAATCGCTTCAACGTCGTCTATCGACTGCTCGGTGCAGGGCAGCCCGGCGTACGCGCAGCAGACCGGCGTCGACGCACCATGCGTCACGTTGCCCGGGTTGAGGTACTTGGACCAGTGCGAAACGAAGCGCACGGCTTGACCATGGTGAGGTAGCCGTGAAACTCGGGCCGCCCGTTCTTTGTCGCCAACTGCACAAAGCGGGGCTTGAGCATGTCCGCGTGCGAGTCGCCAATGACAAAGAGGAGGCCGTTGCGCGCTTCTCCACCCGGGCGCAATACGACACAGGTCTCGGGCGATTTCTTGTCGGCGTGGTCTGCAAACTCAACAAAGTCTTTGGGCAGGTCAACACCGGTGACGTACGTCGAGAACGGCGTCGGGACCCGCAGCCAAGAGGACGAGTTGACGGCAGCAGCGCCCAAAAGCCTGGAAACGCGCAGCTCTCGTCGATACTGGCATACGCGAGGAGCGCACCGTCGAGCAGGACAAGAAGCGGGATCGTCCGGGCGTGGCCAAAGCCTCAGCGTCATCATTATGGTCGTCGTCATCGTCGCTGGTACGTTTTGGGGACGGCGTCCGGCGGGCGTAGGCGAAAAGACCACCAAGGGCCGCTGCCAAAACCGCGGGAACGGGAGGTAGAATGACATTTTGTTGTTGCCGCCGACACCGAGAAGCGCGATATTGAGCGCAAAGCTGGCGGTGAGGACGTTGAGTTGCAGGAGGATGTTGCGACTCGGACGCAGCATCCTCCTGCAACTCAACGCCACGAAGGGCCAAATGAGATGAAGGAAGGACGATCAAGCTGCTTGATAATAAAAGGACGGGAGCGGTCGTTTGGTGGTGCCAAAGAGCACGATGTGCTTCAGGTGGCGCAGAAGGACACGAATAGAGGATGTGATTAGCAGATGTGTGTCTCCCGCTCCACGCCATGGACCGAGGATTGATGACGTGGCAGAGCCACTGGCCAAGGTACGCGTCGGAAGGACGGAAGACGCCGCCGTAGACTCGACTTTGAAGTACAGTTTAATTGCTAAACTGTGCAACGTATAGCCACAATCAGGCTATCATGGAGCGTCGTGGACGGGCCGGCTAGCGTCGGTCGGTGCTGCCGGCGAGGTGATGCACTTGGCCGAATATGCACCCTTTTCATTGGTCAATTCCAAAAATATCTGCAGATTATTCACCAATCACATACCGGAATGCGCTTGAGAAACAGGAAACGTGGCAGCCTCCGAGCAGCGCTGGTCGGGTGCAACTGGCTTCGATCGCCGATCTTGGATTCTACTGTCAAGGCCGAGCATGCTTGAAGCGCTGGTTGACCAACACACCCGCAATAGCGAGCACTCGCTCTTCTCAAAGAACAGATTCGACCAGACCACAGCAGCCTTTCCTCTTCCGACAGTGGTCACGTCCTGTCAGCTGCGGCATGGGAGGTTTCGCGACTGCGCCATCGACGCAGGTGCGTCGCCGCCGCATGGAGCGTTGGTGAGCGCTCTCATGGGCTCATACTCGGAGGAAAGAAGCGGCCAGTAGCCGTCGTTGCTGCTGCGTCACGCGATCTCTTCTCGATCACGGCTTCCTCCAGCACCAAGCAACGCTCTGTCGCACTCGTCACTGTAGACCATCTTCCGCTACCATCCATCTCCACTTTCGCGCCAGCGTCATCTTCTTTGCTCGCTCGCGCGACACCAGCAGCGTGCACGCATTCTACCTCCTGCATCTCGCTGCAACTCAGCAACGAGTGAGCTGGCGAGCGCGCCGAGGTCTCTACGTCCACGGCGACCTCGCTAGTTACTCACGCGTCAGTGGCCAGTGCGCAGGGACTCGTGGCGACGCGACAGCGACGGCTACCACTTCAACAAGTAGCTCGGTGTCCGATTATACTGCGATGGTCGAGGCTCACACGGCTTTAGTCGCTCTCGCCGATGGATCCGAAAGCTACGACTACAGTGCTGTACGTGCGCGCCGAGGACCTTACGGACGACGTCGACGTCATGCCCGCCTCGGTCCTCGACGACATTCGCCTCCACACGCGCTTCATCTGGTGGTCGCTGCTCTTCCTCAACGGCAGCTGCCTCTGGGCCTACTACTCGTGCTTGTCGGCGCAGACGTACTACGCCGCGCGGTTTGTCAACACGACGTTCCGGTTCGAGTACCTCACGACGCCGATCTCGACATGGCCCATGTTCCTCGGGCACTTGGTGCAAGTGCTGCTCGGGCTCGACTCGAAGCTTGGCGTGCTCTGGCGCGTCCGCGTCGGCTACAGCCTCTACCTTCTCTCGGCGCTCGCGATCGTCCTCCAAGACGTGTGCAATGTGTCCCCCGACGTGGGCGGTCGCATCGTCTTGGTTGCGTTTGGCACCGTCGGCTTTTCCAACTCGCTCACGGAAGCCACGTTCTACGCGCTCTCGGCGCTCTTCCCCGAAGCCATCTTCACCAACGCCATGCAGCTCGGCAATGGCACGTCCGGCATCCTCAACATCTCGCTCAACACGCTCATCCAGCTGTGCGTCGGCGGGCTCGATCCCCCGACGCATGCACTCCACGAGATCCAGCAGGTCTCGTTCTACATCTTCTTCAGCATCTTTATGCTGGTCTGCTTCCTTGCGCTCATCGTGTACCACGAGCTGCTGCGCATTCCGTCGCTCATCTACCTGGTCGCGCGGACCAATGCGACGACTGCGTCCCGGCGCGAGGCGCTGCCGGCGACGTGGGCCCGTCTCGGGCGCATCACCCACGTGCTCTTTCTGCCGCTCGTGAGCCAGTGCCTCATCTTCGTCGTCTCGCTAGTGAGCTTCCCCGGCATTGGCATCTCGTCCGGGTACCAGCTCGCCAACGGTGCGAGTTGGGCCAACTGGTATGTCAATGGCGTGCTTCTGAGCTACAATTACGGCGACTTTGCCGGCCGCATGCTCGCGCCCAAGCTCTACCCGTACTTTACTCTGCACTCGTGCTTTTGGTGGACGATCGCGCGCGGTTTGCTGTTCCTTGCGCTCCTCGTGGGGCTGCCTGGGGACGGCCATAACCCGCTGTACCTGCTGACCGAGGCGCACGCCTTGAATGTAGTGTGGCAGCTGCTCGTGAATCTACTCCTCGGCCTCTCGACCGGCGTCCTGAGCACGATCACGATTGGCCTCGGGCCGCGCTTGCTGCCCCAAGAAGACCGCGAGTCGGCCGGCGCCATCATGTGTCTCGGTCTCTTCCTCGGCATTTCGTCTGGCGCGACCATTGGCCTCGAGATTGGCCAGCGCCATTGGCTTGGCGCCTAGTCGATGCGTTGCTACGTGAGTGTACATGATGTCTAACTAACTTTGTATAAAGTCGGCGGTTTATTTGGGATGGCGTGTTTTTGCTGCACTTGGGAGTAGGGGTAGGGCTGAGTCTTGCCAGCGGACCGACTGTACACGCAGATCTACTAGCTGTGGCCTGGGCTATGGCTAGCGAGTCGGCGGGCTGCAGTGGCTGCGGCTCGAGCTCGTGAGAGCGACAGGGTCCAGGCTTCTCCCTACGGATAGGTGGTTGAGTTCATATCTTTTACACTCGGTATACAAGAAGCAAGTACTGTACAAAGGGTTGCTTGAGATTTTACACTCATGACTGCAATGTGGAGTCGCCAAACCTTCATTTTCCATTTTGCATCCGACTGGCCACAACCACCTCCGCTTCCTGTAGCCTCGCGAGACTGCCCGCTCCGCTCTACTCGACCACCCACTCACCAACAACAACTAGGACTACGCGCTCCAATACCGACAAGAAGCAGGAGTAGCGCGACGCCTCGACCGCCGCACAGGCCACTCCACAGGTGGTTCTGGACGAAGTTCGTCCGGTGTTTGGCTCGCCAAGCGCTCGCGGTGATGAGCGAAGAGACTGCGACGGAGGAGAGCCTCCGTGCACTCAAGCGCGCTTTGCTGCGGCGCGACGGCGGTCGACGTGTCGTAGTGTAACAACGATATAGATGCGGCCAAATAGGACAGACGTGTGGCCTAGTGCTGCCTACTACTCAATGTCCTTGCTGCCATAACATCAACAATTTCATGAATCTTTAGATCTATTTAGCAAACGAGATCTTAGTTTTGATGGTTTCTGCAGCATTATGATAGGGCTAGGGTACGACCTCGGGCTTGACGACGGGCTCGGTCTTGATACGTGTTGACCGCTTGGCACTTGGCTCGTCGTCGGTCGATGGCGTTTGGCGCTTGCTTGCGACCGACGCCTTGGGTTTGGTGATCTTGATGCGTGTGACTTTGAACCCTTGGATCTTGGTGACGACGGGCTCCGACGGTGGCGCGCGTGCGTGTGGTTGCGGTGCGGCATGGGACTGCGACGGACGCCGGACGTGGGTGACTCGGACAGGCACAGTTGGCGCTGGTGGCGCAAGCAGCTCGGTCTTGACCGCAACCGAGTCGAGAGGTGACGTATACTCGGGCGGCGGCGTGGAAGCCGGCGAGCACAGATCAATGGCCTCGGTCATTGGCTCACAGGGCGACAGAATAAGCTCTGCTTTGACGGGAAGCGCTGGCACGTCGTTTGGTAAGCGCGCAACGGCAGCACTGGCGACGGGTGGTGGTGGCGAGAGGACGGGAGGCGGCGTCACTGCCAAGCGAGGCATCTCCTTGGGCTCGGGCGTTGCAGGGACGACCGGTGGCGACGCGATCTCGGAGGCAGCAGAAGCATTGTGCTCGTCCGTGTTGCTCCTCAGCGGTGCGAAAGCCGTATTCGAGATCGCTGGAGCTGACGAAACGACCGACGGCGCATCCAGAGGCGTCACCGTCATGGGACGAGGCTCAGCGGGCCTGGACAGCGCCGGTACGACGGGCGGTGTAGACATGGCGGGCGGTACAGACACGATGGGCGGTGCAGCGTCGACAGGCGATGCCTCGATCTCGGGCTCAACCATCTCATCTGCAAGCGGCAGCTCAAGATCTAGTGCAGCCGTATTGCCCGCCGACGTTGGAGCCTCTTCCAGGACGTCGACGGGTTCCTTCGCCACCTCAGTCTCGGGCTCGATGTCTGTAAGCTCGACGACTGGCGTGGCGACGTCGTCGGTACCTTCCGGACGCAGCAGTACCTCGGGTGTGTCGACGGCGTCGGCAACGTCTTTGGGCGAGAGCGTCAAAGGCGGTGCGTGCTGGACACTGACGCGCATCTGTAGGAAGCGTGTGTACTCGGCAACGTCCCAGTGCTCGTGCTCAAAGGTCGTCGCATCGGGAACGGCGTCGGCCGCGGCGTGCGTGAGAAGCACCATCGCAAGCTTGGCGCGCATCTCGGCTGCAAACGCGGCCACGGCCGCCGTCGTTGCCGCCGGCCACTCGGGTAGCGTCGTCGGCGGCAGCGCGGCTTCTAAGAATGGATCGATGATCGCTCGTTGTACGTGGTTGACTGACGCAGGCGCGTCGATGGTCGCGGTCGAGGCGCGCGTGTACAGGGCGTAGAGCTCTCGAAGTCCATGACGACTGGCTGCGCAGAGTTGGTGCCACATGTGGTACGGACTAGAAGCATTGTGAATGTTGGGATGCAGCGCGGGCGCAATGGCAGCGAGAAGGTACTGGCTGGCGTGGCGCACGGCGCGCTGGTGCATCGTCTCGACCTCGTTGGCGATGGCCTCGACAACGCGTCGTTGGACTTGGCGCGCGCGGCGTGCAATCGCCACCTGGAGGCGCACGTCGCTGAGCGTGTCATCATCCACGTCCGGAATCGCGCTGTCTGCCGCCGCCATGAGCATGTGCATCGTGGCTGGGCCAATGGCGTTGGCGTGGCCCGGGTCTTCGTAGCCGTTAACGAGATAGTAGGTAGCGCAGTTGGCGGCGCTGGCAGCGGCCAAGAACCCCGGCTGCCATGCGGGAAGCTGCGCGAGCTGCTCCAGGCGCGGGCCGCCGAATGGCGAGGAGCGGACCATCGTGCGTCGCCCCGCAACTTGCTTGGTGCATCCAGAATCAGGAATCCATCCAGTTATAACCGAGTGTTACGATATGTTAGGAGTATTAAACAGGTGGAAATACAGTATAGGTCCCGCCCGACACATGCCATCGATACGGCCAGTGCGCTTCAAGACTACGTCCTCCAACAAGGATCGCTCGATTCAATACGGTGCGTTCACGAATTAAACGACGCTACTCGATACCGCGACGCTAGTATGCCTGCGAGAGGCAAACCTGGCACTTCGAATTCTGTAACACGTATGTGTTTTAAACAAAAGTGTTAGATACGTTGGTAATTCTGGCCAATCAACAACCGCGACCAACGATCTGCCAGCATCCAGCTGGCAGACAGGCAGCGGCGCCAGAAGCACACGACCGCTCCCGTGGCCATACCGCCCGTCCTGCTTCAACCAAAACGAAGCTGCAGGTGCTGCATGACTAACTTTCTTTATAGGGTTATACATGGGGGGCTACGTGAACGACAACGCTGCTTCCCGCTTCCTCGACCCTCGACGATGGCGGGCATACCTACAGCGCTACAAGGTCGACGTGCGGCTGCGGCGCATGCAGCGCTCTTCCAGCAGTTGTCGCTTCTCGGCGATATCGACGGGTGTAGCTGGCGCCTCCTTGCGCTTGCCGCGGTACTTGCGAATGAGGCCCTTCCGCATCAACGCCGCTTCATCGCTCGCGGTGCGCGGGACGTACGCAAGCGTACACGCCTGGCCGTCGATGGTCGGAAACGGTAGACTTCCGGTAATGAAATCCGTGCGGAAATTGCGATTTTCCCAGTCCAAGGTGTGCTGCCGGCACATGCCAATGCGATGGTCGTCGTAGCCGCAGTAGGCACATGCCATGTGGGACGACGGCATCGGGCGCGCACTTGCTTTGGCCATCGACGGCAGCAAGTGAATCTGAACGCGGGCGACGTCCGACGATGATAGCCCCGAGAGCACACTCGCATCATGGGGGCCCGACGCGTGCGCCAGCAAGACACACTTGAGCTTGGTCGTCAACGCCGTTTTGTACGCTGCCACGGCGGGCGCGTCGACGTCGGCGGGCGACGTCAACAGCTGCTCCAAGAACGGGTCGACAGCGGCGTCAAAGCGCTGAAAGAAATCGCCCGGCGCCTCGTAGTTGGGTCGTTTGGCTTGGAAGCGCATGTCGGTCACCTTGGCGTAGGCGCGCTGGAGCGAGCCCACGTCGTTGGACGCTGCGGCAGTCAGTCGCTGCCACATGCCGTACGGGTCCGTAGTCGGCGCCACATGAGGATGAAGCGACGGCGCAATGGCCGAGAGGAGGTACTCGCACGCGTACTGGACTCTCTGCGATCGAATCTCACTGCACTCGGAAGCAATGGCGTCCTTGAGACGCGCGTCGAGATGGCGCTGGCGCATGATCTCGGCGCCTTCGCGCTGTGCCGGCGTGAGGTCGTCTGGGACGTCGGGCATCGCGGCGTTGACGGTGACTTGCAGCTCGTGCAACCGCGCCGGGCCAATCGTGTCGACAATGGTCGCGTCCTGGTAGTGGGGACGCGTGTAGTAGGCGGTCATTGTAGCGTCACTGGCCGCGAGGAACGCCGGCTGCCACGTCGATAGCCCATCTAGGCACTCCAGGCGCGGACCTGTGAACATTGCAGAGGAAACGGGTTCTGGGCACTGGGTGGCGTTGGCGCCATCGTGCAAAACGCTCGATTTAGAACGAGCCAATCAGCGTGCAAAAACGGGTTTTCGCGGACCAATCAGAAGACGCGAATCAGCGATCCGGCGGTTGTGGGAGATCAAAGTCGCCTTATTGGTATGGATGATGGAAGCGTTCCCGTTGCCTATTGCTGAGCCTAGCTGGCCTCCATTGGCGTGCCGACGGGCACCAGCATCTCAGCGCGGAACGTCCGACGGTGCGGGCTAAGCCTCGTTGCTTGGCGCAGCTCGAGACTGCTCACGTCAACGACGCGCTTTTCGGGACCTTGGGATCCCAACCGTCTGCTTAAAGCTGCAACACATAGAACGAGCGGTGACATACGCCGTTGTTTCTATGGATACGCTCACCAACCTCGCTTGTACACGCGGACAGCGGCGGCTCAACGAGCCGAAGCACGACATCAGCGTCATCGCAGACGGGTCTCCATCATTTAGGTTGTGTTCCCATTGCTCGCAGTAGCACTACTCGTACGCAGACTAAGTGTGCCACGGTCGTTGGACCTCTTGACACGTCGGTCGTTGGCGCAGTGTCGAGCTGCCGCCGCTTCATCTGAGCTCTCGAGCTCAGTCTCTTCCATGGCGCTACCAGCCGCTTCGTCAAGAGCATGGATGTATGCGAGCTGGAGGTCCGATGGCCACCGCCTGGAGCTACGCTCGTGTATCATCATCGCGAATTGCGAAACACGTAAATAGTGTACATGCATCACGCGAATAGTGTACAATTAATTACTAGGGCTCCGATCCAAAATTTTGAGGAGCACGCCCGAGCAACGATGACGACTGCGTACGCTGACGCGCCCGAGCTCCTGGACATGGAGCTCTTCCACACATGGTCGACAAGCTTTCTCGACTCGGCGCCTGCGCTGGCGCCCTACTACCGCGTCCGCGGGCACGACGACGCAGCGGTGGGCCTCCCGGACTACCAGCTGACCAAGATCAAGGCGGACGCCGCAGCCGAGGTCCCGGTGGGCGTCAAGGGGCGGCGACTGCGCGATTTGATTGCTGCCAAGTCGCAGCAGGCCCGGCGCGGTTTCGCGTCGATGCGCCTCTTTACGTGTCTGCCCAAGGCCGTGCAGCGCGACCTGAGCCGTGACGGCGTGGACATGGATCCGTTCAACCTGTGGCAAAAGCTGCTCGGGCTCGTCACCAAGTCGCCGGTCGAGCTCTGTACGGCCTTCCATGCGCTCGTGGCCTCGACAGCGACGGCGTCGGTGCCAGCTCCCGACGACTTCAACTCGGCCGTCGGCGCAGTTCTCGATGGCCTCTTGGCCTACGACGCCGCCGCGCCGTGGACGCCCGAGACATATCGCGCGGCGATCGCGGCCAAGCTGAAGACTCTTCTTTTTGCGCACCCGGCGCGCATGCGCAGCCGCCAAGGCGTGGAAGATGCGCTGAACGCTTGGGACTTCGACCAGCTCGTGCAGCTCGCGTCGGCGCCACAGGACGAGCCTCCGCCAGACGTCGTCGCGCCTCGACCCGTGGCGAGAGCCAGCGACTCTGGCTCATCTCGGATGCATGTCCTCTTCCGCAAGCCGGCGCCACCCGCGGACCCGACGGAAATCCCACTTTTGGCGCAGCCGAGTGGCTTGCGACCTCTCGGTCACCGTCCGATGTGTGGAATTCTGGACGACGACAACGACACCAGCGACTCGGAGTCGCCGCCACCGTCGCCGGATGGCAGAGCTGCAGCGCTCCGTCGACCACCGCCACTGCGCGCGCCGGTCAAATCGTCGCTGCCCGCGCCCGCCCGACAACCCCGCTTGACGACCTATGGGCAGCAGACCCTTGGAGACATTGCGCGCCGCGCAGAGCAGCAGAATATGTCGACTAAAGCGGCAGCGTCGACCTCGTCCTTGAAGCGTCCGGCCAAGCGACGCGCAAGCAGTCCGAGCCCGACGCCCGCCAAGCGCTCCGCCCCTCGGGTGTAGTGAACGCCTTGACGAGGCGGGCGACCTTTTGCATGTTGTCAAGTTTAGTTGAATTCTTTAGTCGAAGCGTTGTTGAAGTGCAGGCGACTGCTACACTCTGGAGTCTCTTGGGTCACTGGATGCACACCGATCCAGATGTGGTCGCACACGAGACCGAGATCATCACTAGACAGTGTACTAAGAGCAGCCCGGCACGCTCTTGTTGGCAAGCGAGTCCATGCAATCGTGTACTACTAGTTATGTAGTCGTTTAGTAGGTGGTAGTCGCATGTTCGCGTTGGACTGCGCAGTTTACTTCGACTAAACGACTGTACGATTAGACACACACGAATTTACACCTACATACTATTTGGCGTTTCTACTTTTGGTATCCGGATGCCACACCTTGGACCACAATGGCAGACATCGTCGGCGCGTTCGCGCAGGCGCTGCAGCACCGCTACACGAGCTCCGGAAGCTCTGGCCCAGCGTACCTCAGCGCGCTGGAAGCGTCGTCAGCTACCTTTCTCGATGCGCTCTTCGCCTCGTGTGGTGATGACCTTGGGCGGCTCCGGGACCTGCTGCAATGCGTCTTGCTGGCGCAGACGCTTCCACCGGCTCTGGCGACGCAGCTTCAAACGTGGCGAGCAGATGAGCCTCGATGGGACTATGCTAGCATCAAGCAACGCGTTGTGACGGCCATGACTGACGCGGCCACGCCGCTACGCAAGCGCCGACGCGCGGCCACCGACGCATTGACCTTGGACGACTCTGCGCACCAGCCACGCCGCTTCCGAGATAGCGACTGCGCGATCTGCAATACGTGCATGCACCCAACGCATGCGTGCCCCAAGCTCGATCCGCAAAGCCACGCGCTCGCGACGTACGGATGCTCGTACTGCTCGACGTACTGCCACACCCTCGAACGCTGCGCGACCTTGCGCATGGATCTTGGCGCCGACTCAGTGCGCGCCGGGGCTATCGTCCCTGCATGGCTTGTGTGTAGCTACTGCCGCCTCTTTGGTGTACTCGACTGCCACGACGCCGCGTACTGCAGCCGTCTCGCCCACGATCGGCGGTCGGGTGTGGTGCATGGCAGCTACAAGGCAAGACCGACCGACGACGTAGCATCGTCGCCACCGGCGCCAGCACCTCAAGCTGCCACGCATGTCCACGCGTCGGCGCGTCGCAAGGTTGTTCAACAGGCGTCCCGTCCTCGTCCGCCACGCGCCACCCTCGAGTGCTTGTACTGTTCATCGACCAAGCATGCCACGCGCAACTGCGGGGACTTGCGCCGGGACGTACGCTACAACTGCGTTCGGTCGACGTTCGAGCTGCCACCCGACCTCGCTTGCGCCTACTGCAAAGTCCGCGGGGATGTCAAGCTCCACAGTACGATGCGCTGCCGCCAATTGGAGCTCGATCTGCAGTACGGTGACGTCCGGCTCGCGTTCGAGTCGGTGCGACCGCGGTCGTCGGGGCCACCGCGCGCAACGGCCGCTGAATTTGAAGCCGCGCTGGAGAAACTACGGCGAGCTCGGAAGGCCGCTGCGTAGCGAGTACTAGTACTATCGTAGCGTCAAATGCGTTGCATGCGAGTCCGTGTCCTCGGGCCTTGTTTGGGTGTTTCTAGTCATTCGACTCTTTTTCGGCACTTGCCACATCTACACCAACGGCGCATCATGCAACAATGGGAGAGCCCTGCCGACTTGCACCGGTGCGAGCGACAGCCAATTCGACTGCACTGCACTTGGAGCGAGTATAGTGCTATGAAGAAAGCGCTAAGTCGCTTGTTGTCATCGCTGGAGCCTTGTGGGGCCGCAGCACGTGGCAGATGCCACGTTGAAAATGACCGTATTTTCAAAACGCCGAAAATAGAAGATGACAAAGAACGGCGGGACGTACGATGGCCCGAAGCTGGAAGCATGGGATGGCTTTCTGCTCTGGAAGCCGCTCTTCCTGCAGGCGCCGGCGACCGCCAAGTACGTTAACTACTACCTTATTGACAACTACGCAGATGCCCACCTCGAAGAGCTCATCTCATCCGACGAGCGCGCTCGGCTCCATGGCGTCGCGACCAAGTCGGCGACGCCCGTGTACGCGGAGCTCCTCTCGAGCGAAGAGCTCGCCGGCGCCACCAAGCGCTACCATAGCGAAGTCGCCATGGTCACGTCCAAGCTTGTGGCGTCGGTAGTCAAGCGGCTGCAAGGCGCCATGGCGGCGCAGGCCACTGCGTACCTTCGAAGTGCCATTGCGCCATCGCTGGGCGCAGAGCTGCCGCCGCAGCCGCAGACGCCACACAGTCTCTGGAAGTACGTGATGACGCAGAGCCAGCCGCCGTTCTACGATGTCTTTGGCCTCTTCGAGTACACGCTGGGCATCCAGTTGCAGCGGCCGTCGGCGGCAGATTCCTTCTTTGCCGCGTTTGAGCCAGCGGTGGCCGCGCTGCTGACAGCGCTACTCTCGCTCCACGACGTCTCGAGTCTCTTTGTCGGCGTCGACGACATGGAAAGCGCGCACACGGTGCTCACGCGCTACCAGACGCAGCTGACCGCCAAGCTGCAAGTGTGCTTGCTCGCCCACGCCGTCGCCCCCAACTTGACGTCGCTCTTCAAGCCAAACCCAACGACGTTCGACTATGCAACCACCAAGCTCCGTCTCCTCGAGTACGTCAACTCGGTACCGGCGAGTGCTGTCTTTCTCTCGAGCGACGACGACCGGAACGAGACGCAGCGCAAGCGCATGGCGGGCATCGAGACGTCCCTTCGATCGACAAAAAAGCCAAAAATGCAGATCAACCTGCCAACAACGCTCGGGCCAGCCTCGGTGACGAGCCCCTCGTCATCTATTCTCAAGGCAGCGCGACCGCCGACTCCGACGCCACTGCAAAAAGCAGCAACGAACGGTCCTGTCGGTAGCATGTCGCCGCTCCAGCGGACGCCACCATCGCGCGTGCCCGTCGCATCGGCAGGTCGCCCGTCGACGCGTCAGCAGCCCGCCCCGAGGCCGCCAAAGCCATTGCCAATGACGGCGGACAATGCGATGTGCAACTACTGTCGGCTGGCGCCGCACCACCTCACTGCCTGCCAGCAGTTTGTCGCGGACGTTGCGCGCTTCCAGGTGACGCGAGGCTTTTCGGTTCCGGACGATGCGTGCTGCACCCACTGCATCAAGCTCGGGCATGTCCTGCCGCACCGTGCAAAAGGCTGCCCACGGCTCGCATCGCTCGTCAACGCTCAGGCGGCCAACCCAGCTCGTTACGTCCACAACCGTCGCAAGCCGTCCTGAGTCCATGACCTCTTTTTAACTAGTGTTAGCGTAGTCGTTTAGTCAATAGCTCTTGGTTGGTCTCTTCGCCGTCCTCGCTGCGGAGGCCGCACAGACGAGCCCTAGCCCTATTACACTATTTATATAGTGTGATCTTTTTTTGAAATAGTGTTTTTAGAAGGCCGGGCAAATCCATATTTGGAGAACAAGCAAGCGCGATGGCCACATACCCCGGCCCGGTCCTCTTGGCGCTCAAGGGCTACTACGAGTGGAAGCAAGCCTTCCTCACGTCGGCGTCGGCGATGGGCTATAGCGCCTACTACATGACGCAGGCCTACGCTGACCCGACGCTGCCGGAGTTTCTCAACGACGCCCAGCGAGCGCACATTCGCGAGTCGGCCGAGGCCGCTGAGCCGCCGGTCGACGCCGAGAACAAGTCGATGGACCAGCTCGAGTACGCGCGCGGGCAGCGCCGGCAAAGGGTGCATGACCGCGTCCTCGCGTACACGTTGCTCGAGTGCCAATGTATGGGCCAGCGTGTCGCCCGGCGTGCCGCCAGGTACCTTCTCGCCGCTCTCCACTTGAATGTCCAGAGCGCGCTCGGACACTGCGCGATGGACCCGTTTGCGCTATGGAGCGCGCTGCGCCGGCAGGTGCAAGCGGCGAACCGGGACCTTTTCCTGCTCCACGAACACGTCGCCGACGTCACGCTTCCTGGTCGTTGGCATGCACCAGCCGCGTTTGTGAGAGACTTTGACGCGGCCGCGCAGCCGTTCACCGACCTGCTCTTGACGCCCGACGCTGAGCTGCAAACGCTGATGGACGCCAACGACGACGCCAAGGTACTCCTGGACGAGTACCAAGCGCAGCTTAGGGAGAAGCTGCTCTCGACCTTGTTTGCGCAGGCATGTGGGCCGCACATGTCGTCGCTCTTCCAGGCGTGGCAGCTTCAAATTGGTGGTTGGGATCAAAGCATTTCTCAAGCGGCGTGTCGTCGAGTACTTGGACAGTCTCCCACGCTCGGCCGTGCTGCTGCCACCGAGCAACGCGGTCACGGCAGCCCGGCACGCGGCCATCGCTGCCATTCACAGTCGACTCGGCGCGCCGCCACCGTCAGTAGCAACGAGCGAGACGGCGCCCCCGGTGGCCGCCGACGTGACACTGGCGCCGCCGACCGCTGTACGAAGAAAGCGCAAGGCACCACCAAAGCGCCAAACAGCACGGAAAGCCAAGCGCAAGGCGGCGACGAGTGCCATGTGCAAGTACTGCTTTGAGATGGGCCATGCGACCATCGCCTGCAGCGACCTCCGTGACGACTACATCCATGGCACCGTTCGCGACGGCTTTGTTTTGCGGAGCGACTATGGCTGCGTGTGGTGCCGAAGCCGGGGTCTTCGCAGCGTCCACCGCGAAGACCACTGCGCGATCTATCGAGGAGTGGCCGACACGAACTGGTCGCCCAGATGGCCACCGCGGTCAATATCCCTTGTGTCTAGTTGGTTGAGTGGAATTTATGTAAAAGACGTTATATGGACTACGTCTAGCGCGATACCCAGAGGCTCAGGTACCGAGCGCTGCACTTTGACGCGTCGTCACGGGAGCTACTGGTCCACGCTGTGTCGCACGCAACCTATGACGAGCCTGTCCTTCCGTGCGATGCTCAGACCTGCAACGGCGACTGCAGTTGTCAAGCTGGCAGAGCTTGCTCGTTGGCGCCGAATGCCATTTTGAACTCGGTTTTTGAATGGACGTCGGCAGATCGTTATTCCCACCTGCATGAGGTCGCCCTCGAGATGCAAGATATCGAAAAGGCTTGCACTCAACATGCAGCGGGCGTGGCTCTCGGAGAGGAGTGTGGTTGTCAACGTAGCATTTTCTAAAAGGCGTCTGGACGGAGCGACGCCGCCGCCACTTTACACCCGTTGGTGTCGGAGTTTTGCGCCGAGACACGTCGAATAGCAAGCGCAAGGCAGCGCCCGCAGCGGACGAAGCCGCGTTCGGTGCATCAACCCTTCAACCAGGTCGCGTCCGCGCGCACGTTGAAGTTGCAATAGCCAATCACAGCGCTTTTGAATCCGGTCAAGTGACACGTTTTTCTGCAGTGCATCTTGGCGGTACGCGACACAGACTCTCCCGGCTGCACGCGGTGTTTCAGCCTGCTGCACGCGGTGTTTCAGCCTGCTGCACGCTTGGGGTCGTCCAGAGATGCCAGTGCTCCGCCTGCCCGTCGCGCGTCGCATCGATGCTGCCGGTCGCGTGACCTCATTTTCAGATGAGTCTTTGAGCTCGAGAGTAGGACCATGATCCCCAACGCGGTCGGCGGCGTGTCGCAGCGACGTCGCCAGCACCACGAAAACCTCTACAAACGCATCTTCAACTGGTGTAATTGCTTGAAGTCGACACTCAGTTTGAATTTGCCTTTGTTGCGCGCACCCCACCCCATCACCAACTACGATACAATGACCTCGATCAACTGGACCGAGCTGGAAGCCGCGGCCAAAAAGGCGTCGCTGGCGGCCTACGCGCCGTACAGCCACTTCCACGTCGGCGCCGCGCTGCTGACGTCGGACGGCCAAGTGTTTGCCGGCTGCAACGTCGAGAACGCTTCGTACCCCTTGGGCAACTGCGCCGAGCGCACGGCCGTGTACGCGGCGCGCGTCCAGGGCAACATGACGCACATCGAAGCCATTTGCATCTACACGCCGACCGAGAAGGCGACGTCGCCCTGCGGCGCGTGCCGCCAAGTGCTCAACGAATTTGGCCCGAACATGGTCGTCCGCATGATCTGCGACGGCGACGAGGTGCTCGAAACGACGATCGACCACCTTCTTCCGTACGGCTTTGGCCCCAAGAACCTGGAAGAGGCCAAGGAGACCCGCGACGCCCGCGCCAACAGCCCTTGATGCGTAAACTAAATTATATGTACTTCTCTACTCGACCGCCTGTTCCACATCTGAAGGCAACGACACGATATGCTTGTATAGCTCTTTTCCCACTTCAAAATATGTTTACGACACTGTTCTATTCGTCGAAATGTGTCGAAAACTCGATCCACAGTCCAAAAATCAACGTAGCACTGCACGTCTAGTTCTTGGTGCCCGAGTACGCCGTGTCGCTCTTGTAGCCGTTGGCAAGTTGGTGCTTGAGGTAGCAGCGACCACCGTTCATGGTGAAGCCGGCGCAGTTGGCCGTCGTCTTGCAGAGGCTGTGGCACATGGTCGCTTGGTCGATGGCCGACCCGGGCATATCAAGGCCAAGGATGTCGTTGCCCCAGTAGTCCTGCTTCCACTGGATCGACGGACCTGCGCCCTTGATGCCGGACGACACCTGCGAGTTGGCACGCGGCACGCCGACGCTCGACTTCATGTAGCACGAGCCGTACCCGACCGAGTACGCGACGCACTTGTCGTTCTTGTAGCACAAAGCACAGCACTGCGCGAGCTGGTCCGTCGTCGAGCCCGAGACCGGGGCACTCCCAATGTCGTTGTTGGTGCCGCTACTCGTAAAGTCAATACCCATCTGCGCCGTGCACGTCCCCGACGGCTGCGGTGCAGCTCCCGGGGAGCCCGAAACGAGGCCGGTCGCGGGCCGCGGGCTGCCTTTCGACGACTTCATGTAACACGTGTTGTAGCCGACTGTGAAGGCCACGCAGTTGGTTGTGCTTGAGCACTTGGCGCAGCACTGACCGACCTGCGTGTTGCGGTCGCCCGTCACCGGACTGTTGGCAATGTCGTTGCCCGGGTAGTCGACATCCATCTGCGTCGTGCACGTGTCCAAGGTCGGGGCGGGGGCCGAAGCGGGGGCCGAAGCGGGGGCTGGAGCGGGGCCTGAAGCGGGGGCCGACCCGCCAGGGCAAAAGACAACATCGAAAACCATGTCGCCGGGGCAGTCGTGCGTCTTGATGTCGGCGGGGAAGAGGTAGGCGTCCGGAGCGTCCTCCTTGAGATCGAGAAGCGCAACGCAGCTGGGACTGTAGTTTGTGCCAGCTTTCTTCCTCGGCGTGAGCGACATGGGCACGTTGAAGCCGACGGCCTTGGTCTTGGCCTTGCAGTCTTGGAAGCTGTTGCAATTGCCCGGCTAGTTTATCGCATGAGATAGAATATGCAATGCTGCAGATCGTCCTCAGTACCATGGGCGGGATGTTGCTGAAGTCATACCACAGCTGCCCGTTGAGCACATACTCGATGACTACACATAAGGCAAAAAGATGAGGCCCACCGAGCGGCGACAAGACGACGTACGGTTGACTTGGTCGGACGCCGTGTGGCGAAAGATGCCGGGCGCGTTGGTCGTGATCGTGACGCCGCAGCTCTTGTCGCGTGTTTGGCCGGGCGCGATGTCACAGAGGTGCTTGCCGTGGGCGGCGTGGAGGTTGATGGTATAAGGGCACTTGTTGTTGAAGACAAACTCGGCCGCGTTCACCGCATACAGGCCAGCGGCCGCCAGTACAGCGTAGGACGAGAACATCTTCATAATGGTTTGCAAGTCCTTATCGTCGAGACGGCGCTAATTGAATACTGAACCGACGTGGCGCGCGATCCAGGATCGCCATTGCGGCAGTGTACAGTGTATGCGTCATAAAATAAACCTGCATGCCCACATATACAAAAGGCAAGATAAAATAAAACGTCGATTAAATACTGGATGTTACTCATACCTTTTCAGCACGAAATGCTGGCGACCTTGGTGCAACAGCAATCGCATTTCGTGAGTAGCACCCCACGACCTTGCCACGCCTTGCCTCATACCATTGCTCTTGCCATTGCACGCTTCGTATCGCAGCTTCCATGCGCCACCACCGTATAGGGCTCGCTCCAGAATAAGGTTTGTGATGCTGCATTCGCGACGAACGGATGTGGGTACATGATGAAGATATTGACTAAATAGATAGATTAGTAAGGTTGCTAGATGTAGTACGGCGCGAGCGTTAGACCGGTGTGCGGTACACCGACTCGAGATCGTCGTCGGTCTCGGCATCCCCGACGCTCGAGCAGTATGTGGCTTCCACGTTCACGGCGGCCGGCGTCGTCGAGCGGCTAAAGATCGCAAAGACACCGCAGAGCGCCAAGGCTGCGCCGACGCATGCAATGCTCCACGACGCACTGCCCGTGTTCGCAGTCCAGAACGGGTACCCGGTGCCCGACCCGGTGGACGAAGACGACCCGACACACGCCGAAAGGTTGCCGCACGCAAACGTCCAAGCGGCGGTGATAGGCCCAGCGAGCATCGTCGTCGAGGCCGTGCAGGTCGCTTGCGATGCAAACTGAACGCAACCCCGGGCGCCCGTCGAAACACAGAGCGAGTTGTTGGGTGCGAGCGCGACCCAGCCGTTGGAGCCTTGGACGCACTCCCAAGGCAGCGGCGCAGTGGCGAGGGCCTCGCGCGCGAGGTAGCACCACGCCGATACCGACTCGTACCCGGTCGATCCCCAGTGCATGAAGCGGTCGGCGCCGCACTGCGCAGGGTACAAAGCCACGTCGAGCTTGGTGGGCACCGTGAGGAGGTCGGCGACGCTTGTGGCGGTGACGCAGTTGACACCGTCGTTCGAGTAGCACTCTGGCTGGCCGGCGCTCGAGCTCGAGTTACGAACCATGAGGTAGCCTTCGCCCGAGCCAATGTAGCTCCACGGCGCTTGGATCGACGAGGTATTGGTGGTCGTGTTCGCGGTCGCCGGTTGCACTTTGAATGACGAGATTTTGTAGGGCCAGTTGCCAAGCAGCGACGTCGAGTGGTGCCACACGGCCGAGTTGCCGGCGTCATCGTATGTCACAAACTCAATCGCGGGATCGACGACGATCGAGAAGATCGGGCGCTTCCACTGGGCGAGCGTGCTGGCCGCGTCGTCGGACGAGATGACGGCGACCGACTGGCCGAGGTACTGAGGCAATTCGTAGAGCACGACTGCCGGGCGCGAGGCAAGCGCGAGGCCGAGCCATGCGCTTACGCTTATGAGGGACTTGAACATGGCAAAGGGAATTGAAAAATGATATCCTTGGGCCACGACCAGCTGCGATGGCGTTTAAACGCATCGTATCTAGGTTAAAAGATGGAATGATGGTCGCGATGACGATGGACAGGCGCGCCGTCGACACGGCACAACGAAGTAGTCGAGTGCCATCACTTGTACGCACAGGTGCAACACCGACGCTCTTCATTACCGCGGTGCGGTCTCGACGATCAAGCGTCAGAGGTTTTCTTTCTTGCCGCTTTCCTGCCTACGCAGACTGCGACATATCATTCTACAACGACGTACCGGTAGCTGCGCTGCAAATGTAGCGGTATGCCAGTCCCCTGGTACTAGAATTATCGTAGAGTCCAAGGTAGGTAAAGCGCATTTTGTTCAGCATTTTGTAGGTGTTGTACAAGCAAGATTTTGTCGGGTGTCCTGCACTGCGATCCTCCACGCTTGGCACTGAGAGCCATGGGTTCAACCCTTCTAGTACCTGGGAACCTGGTACGTTATCGCATTCTATAAGATCTGTGTCCAAGGTGTCGCTTCCACGACACGATGCGAGCAAGTCGCTCGTCATGGGCAGTGGTCGCCGACGTCAATGGCCGTCACTCGCTCCAACCTGCATTTCCGTTTTACCTATAAAACGCATTTTGGTCAAAGGTTTTTCACCAGCAGATCGTAGTGCAGCTGGTCGGCGAGGCCTGGGATTGGCTCGTTTCGCGTGGCGAATCGACCGCGTTTCGTAATCGGGTTTATGGCGGGTCGCATGGAAGCGGTGCCATGATGACCAAAAGCGCATCAGTTCGTGATGGACGCCAAAGGAATCGGGAAAATGCATGTGCGTGTCAACACTGGGGATCGGCGTCTGAGAAAGGGCAGCTTTTGATCTCTTCGGACCGGCATTTGGTAATCAAGCGCCGATTTCGCGCCGACTTCGCGTGCTCGTCGAGGTCCCTACACGGACAAAAGGACAAGACGACAAAGGAAAGCGCTATTCTGAGCTGTGCACATTATAAGTTTTTTCATGTCGAGTGCCCGCGATTAGTTGATGATGGACCGAAAGGCTGTGTCTAGAATATGGGACTGGGCTGCAGGATCTCAAAATGCGACTTCAATACTCAAGAAGCTCCACGAAGACTGTTGCGGCTCCTGTTGATTTGGCGACCACGGGACAGCGCAATCGAATTTTTGGTATTTTCTTGTCGAGTGCAATGTGGATTGGTCAGTTGAAGAATCGTGGTCGGACATAGACATGTTGTCAAATGTGACCATTTGACCCTGTCGAGTCGACAAGATCGCACAGAAATCGCAAACTTCGTCATCGAATAGCACCAAGTTGCATGTCGCGATGATAGACAGAAGGGAAGTCTGCGAGAAGTGCTGTTGACGTTAGTACATTTCTGCAACTGCGCATTTCAGACGACACGAGCCCCTTTCGAAGTCCTTCACTTTCGTTCACGAGGCAAGCCCTGCGTCATTTCTCAAGTGACTACGGACCTTCTTGCATCTCGACTCTTGTATTTGTGTTGTCACTAGGAATAAGAACTCGTTTCAACTGGCTGCAGACGGAGCGCATGAAGGTGACGACGTAGAGATGCCCGAGCAAGACGAGTCCTCCTCGGTCAGCGTCGATTCGCCAGGTACCGTCGCGAGGTGCATTCAAGTGTGAGCACTCGGCGACTTGGTGGCTCTGTATTCGTGGCTACTACACGAGGGCTCGCTATCCTTGCTTGAGCATCTCAATAGAGCACTTTGCGCGTCGTTCGAGGCGCTGGCGATCCTCTCTTGTGGCAGCCCAACGAAACGTCATCCGCATTCCAGCCTAACACAAGGAGCTTTTGTACGTAGCCGCAAGATTGGACGGCGCTGCACCTTTCAGCTCCCCACCAAAATTCATCACGCACGAAGCAGAGTTAGTAGTTTAACTTGTCATTTGTATCACGCTGCACCGCCATCCACCCGGACAACATCTGGCGACAGAGACAACGTGTGGCAGGTGCTGGTGTTTGCTCCGAGCCAAAGCTTTACATCGCGGCCCGCAAGCAAATGCCACATACACGATGAAAAGCAGAACAGTGACGTTGGTACCTCCTTGACGCCGAGCGCCAACGCTCAATCAAGAGAAATGTCGATTTGACATGAGTCTGGGAGCGATAACGCCCATGATCTGACATCAGACGGTCTTGCACCACATCCAGAAGCGTAGGTTATTCTTGACCACTTCTCTTGACAAGTGTTCTTCCAGATTAGTAGTAAGTATCAGGAAATGGACTGGTCGTCCCACACTACTCGCTTCAGCTTTCTGCTGCGCGGGAGACCGTCACTTGGGCCACACCGCAGGACACCGGAAGTGTCCACGCAGATCGCATGGTTCATTTTCACATTTTCTCGATGCTGCGTCTACTCGTCCTTGGCGCATTCGCTCTATGCAGCAACATCAACGCGGCAGCCGTCACGTTCTACGAGCACCCGGCGTACCAAGGCCAGTCGCTCACTGTTGCCGCTGCCAACGACGCCACAACCGCGCTCCAACGCTGGTCCAAACCAATCCAGTCGATCACGCTCGATGCCGACACGGAGCTCGTGACGTACGATCGCACAGAGCGACAAGGCCAGGCCGCGATCTGGCGCTACTCGACCACACGCCTCGGCAGCTGGACAGAGCGCGTCGCGTCGTTTGAACTCCGACAAGCAGACACGGAAGCGACAGTACGCGATGTCAACTGGAAGCACCTCCGCGTTGCCTCTGGCTACGTACAAGTGCGGGCGACCGACACGATCGAGTGCCGGTCGTTTGACGGTGTCAACTGCAACGTCAATCTGGCAAACACAACCAGCGACAACCGTGGATCGGTGCACCCGGCTCGGTGCGGCGCCGAGCACGCCATGTACTGGGGCGTCTCTGGCTTTGACGACGCTACGTCCTGGTGCTTGATCGCCAAAGCCGCATTGGCAGCGCCGACAACATCGTGGTCGTGCGTACCAGAGCAGTCGAATTGGCTCATCGTTTCCTCGTCCTCCGACGGCTCACGCTGCGTGGGCCTCAATATATGCGATCGTTTTGGGAGCCTCGCAAGGTGTCAGGACGTCGCGTCGACGTTGCTTGGTACGGACATCGTCACCAGCTCTCATTCGACAGAAAAGCCAGCGACCGAGACGATCCAGGCGTCGGCTTCGTCGACGACGTCAGCGGCCAAATCGGGCTGTACGTTCGCACCGAGTGCTCGAGTTTGCTATGCTGTGGGACTATGGACTTGTGGTTAGGGGTATGGGGCTTTCCGGCGATGATTGCAGGGTGTTTGACGGTCGGAATTGTGGTTGCGATCAAGCTCAACAAACAAACATCAGCAAATCCGCTCGAAGCCACGTACTGCTCGAGCATCGGTGGCGACGACGACTTGCACGTGTAGACACTAACTAGTATTTGGAACGAATAACACGATTTGCGAAACGATACAACGTGTTTTATGGTTTGTGGTATCAAACGCAAGTGTCCATAACCGTTTACGATTCTTTGGGGCAGGTTGCGGACGAGCGCATTGACATGCGACCACTCAAGCAGTCATGACCGCTCGCTGCGAGATGACTTGTAGCCTATCGACTGATGATTACTAGGGAGGCCACCTCGACAACGCCGGTGAGAAAAAACGTTGTTGGTGAGGGCAGGAGGCATGATTAATGCAAGGGTATACTGTATAATAAATAGAGGGTAGGGGACTTATATACCCTTGATGAATGCGAGCAAGAGTAGAAACTTCCTACGTGTGCGCCACTTTGCTAGCAGAAGCCCGGGACACGAGCTTGGACCAAACCGGCGACCTGGTGCGGCCTGTGACATTGCTTTTTGCGGCCGAAGCGCCAACGCTTGGCAGGCTTCGTCCACCAGCACGATCCAAAATCAATCGACTACATTGCAATGCTCATATATGTAGTAGAAGCCCATGGTAGCAGCCACCACGTGCGACTTCTTACATGGGAATTCGGGAATTCATAAGAAAAAATGCTATCGAACCCCAAGTCGATGGCCTTAAGTCGATGCTGCCGCGGCGGGCTTTGAACCAAGTGGCATTTCCAGGCGCGTTCGAGTCGTCTCTCATTTCCGAGCTTGGCACATGTTTGGCAAAAAGTAGTTTTACTTGATTATTGTATGGCGACCGACCGCCAGACGTTGTGGCAAGGTTATCGTGTCACTGGCTCGTGCGTCTGAGCCACGCACTGGAGCCCAGCAACGCGACGAACTCAGTGGAACAAGAGACGACCAATGCCACTCGAGTGGCAGCGCGGTGTGGGATTTTGCATCATCATCGTCGGCGCTGTGTGGGAGAATACTGCTAAAAAGTGGATCGGCGGGGCGTTCTCATTCGCACGGTTGGGGATCGATAACGCAGACGTGTCCAAATCAGATGTTGACGCACCAGTGCCAGATTAGTAGCTAGATCGATTGTGGTGCGTCCCACATTTGACCGCCTGGTTCCCACCGAGTTTGAATCTCCACCCACCATGCAACATTTGGAGCCTTATGATCTGACATCAGACGGTCTTGCACCACATCCAGAAGCGTAGGTTATTCTTGACCACTTCTCTTGACAAGTGTTCTTCCAGATTAGTAGTAAGTATCAGGAAATGGACTGGTCGTCCCACACTACTCGCTGCATCTTTCTGCTGCGCGGGAGACCGTCACTTGGGCCACACTGCCAGATACTGGAAATGTGAAATGTCCACGCAGATAGCATGGTTCATTTACAGATTTCCTCGATGCTGCGTCTACTCGTCCTTGGCGCATTCGCTCTATGCAGCAACATCAACGCGGCAGCCGTCACGTTCTTCGAGCACCCGGCGTACCGAGGCCAGTCGCTCACTGTTGCCGCTGCCGACGACGCCACAACCGCGCTCCAACGCTGGTCCAAGCCAATCCAGTCGATCACGCTCGATGCCGACACGGAGCTCGTGACGTACGATCGCCCAGAGCGACAAGGCCAGGCCGCGATCTGGCGCTACTCGACCACACGCCTCGGCAGCTGGACAGAGCGCGTCGCGTCGTTTGAACTCCGACAAGCAAACACGGAAGCGACAGTACGCGATGTCAACTGGAAGCACCTCCGCGTTGCCACTGGCTACGTACAAGTGCGGGCGACCGACACGATCGAGTGCCGGTCGTTTGACGGTGTCAACTGCAACGTCAATCTGGCAAACACAACCAGCGACAACCGTGGATCGGTGCACCCGGCTCGGTGCGGCGCCGAGCACGCCATGTACTGGGGCGTCTCTGGCTTTGACGACGCTACGTCTTGGTGCTCGATCGCCAAAGCCGCATTGGCAGCGCCGACAACATCGTGGTCGTGCGTACCAGAGCAGTCGGATTGGCTCATCGTTTCCTCGTCCTCCGACGGCTCACGCTGCGTGGGCCTCAATATATGCGATCGTTTTGGGAGCCTCGCAAGGTGTCAGGACGTCGCGTCGACGTTGCTTGGTACGGACATCGTCACCAGCTCTCGTTCGACAGAAAAGCCAGCGACCGAGACGATCCAGGCGTCGGCTTCGTCAACGACGTCAGCGGCCAAATCGGGCTGTACGTGCTTGCTTCTTTTGTGTGGTGTTGCTCAGAAGTGCTATGTAGGGATCTGGGGCCTTGGTGCGATGATTGTGGTGCTAGTCGCCGTCGGAATTGTGGTTGCGATTCATCTCAAGAAGGAAAAGTCGTCGGTCGATCGACTCGAAGCGACTTACTCGTCGAGCATCGGAGACGAAGACGACGTGCCCGGTCTAGTTTAAACGACATTTTGTTGACAGAAAACGCCTATCTACTCACTCTAAACACTAGTTCTAAACCTTGCTTGGCATAAAACAGGCGCAAGCCTCTTTTGCTGGCCACCCGTCGCTACTAGGGCCAGGGTCAACACAAACCAATCTAATTGCTTTATAACAAAGCCTAGTACCTAAGAACGTACTGACAAAGTGTATTGAGAAAAAAGTACTCGCTTCGATTGGTTGGGCTGTGGTCTATCGTCAATGATGAGAAATACGTCACGTCTAGAGGTCGCTCTTGGGACGCTCGTCGGTCTTCTTGGCCGCGCTGCCAAACTTCTTCCACTGCTTGACGACGACCGGCGTGACGAAGAACGTGAGCGGCCACCGGATCGGCGCGAGCATCTTGTAGAGTGCGTAGGTCACGACCGCGTTGCTGGCCGTGTGCACGCCATCGGACGACGTGGTCGCGTTCGCCGCGGCGACGCTGTTGCGCCAGCTGTCGAGGAAGGCGCCGACGTCGAGGCCCTTCGTGACGCTCACGTACAGCAGCGAGTACGAGAGGAGCGAGAGCGTCGTGTGCGTCACGAGCCCGACCGTGCCATACTCCTTGAGGAAGGCCTTGCCCTTCGCCGTCCAGCTCGTCGGTGGCGGCGCCTCGCGCTGCGTGCTCAGGCTAGCGGCCGTCGTCGTCGGGAGCATGGTCGTCGTCGGGCGGAGGCGGCGGAGGAATCGGCCAGTGTGGGCGAGCATCCCGACGGCCAGTTCTGAGGTCAGCCACACGACCCACGCATTCATTGGGCGCCGGCACAGCTTTTCAGCCAATCACATATCGCCATGCCTCGATGCCGCACGCCTGCCACGTACCCGCCAGCGCGCGACCACCGACCCCATGCGCTGCTGCTACATCAATGCAGACTCTCTAACGACGCGTGCTCAGTGCATGAAGTCGCTGGTGCAGGAGCGGGTCAGTGACGTGGCATCGGCCTGGCAAGGCTATGGGAGAGTGATGGTCCGACACTTGTGATCGACGCTTGCACCGGAGACGACAGGTCGAGAAGATATCGCGCTTGCTTGAAGGTTGACGCTCAGAGGCGTCTTCACCATATCGTGCTAGTGTATATACCTTCGATACGTCTCGCCTTTTACCGGTATAGCTCTTTGGCCGTCCCTTCTACGGCTTCTCGCCGCCGCACGGTACCGGTACCGGTAGGTAGCCACTGCGCATGAGCCGTGTTGATGGCTTATCACTGTAATTCCAAAGGCGGCGACTCGTACACGCACGCTGCTGCCGCGTACGCGCCTTGTCGGCGAGAATGGCGGGGCCTCAAGTGCCTCAAGCGCCATAAAATGCAGTCCAACGCCCGCCCTTTTCTCGAAGCTTTGGGGTTGTTCGCGTGCAACACGAGGCCTGACAAAGGCGTCGGCAACGGTGTCGAACCCGCGACAACGGTTTGGCAACTTCAAGCCTCAAGGTTTAACATTCGTGCGCGCTCATAGGCCAGTGAAACGCTTCCAACGGCCACAGTTTGCCTTTCTGCGACACGGCTGCCATTCTGCCTTTCGCTCTGCCGCGTCCTGACGCCCTCCCGCCGCCTTCGTGTCGCGCTTCCTCTTTGCGATCGACAAAGCCCCCTAAGCCGGCCGGGCTGTCCGGATAACCTCGTCCTCTCCCACGCCTTTGCATCTGTGACACGCCAAGTATGACAGCGTCAAGAACCACATCACCACGCGCCGCCGGCATGGACCCGCCGCGCCGCAACACCGACACGGGCGACCCGCCGTCCGTCCAAGTCCTCTGCAACCATTCGCTCGTGCGCCGCCTGGCCGAGTTCCAGCCCGGCGTCGCGTACGCAATCACGGCGTACTGCCGCCAACTCAAGACGGACCGCCCGACGCTCGCGCTCGCGCTCAAAGACAACAGCCTCGTCGGCGTCGCCGCAGCGCGCGGCGACTTGCGCATGGTCCAGACGGTCCTCGCGCACATGGCCCATCCCGACCGCGCGATCGAGTACGCCATGTTCTGCGCGATCCTATCCGGCCAGCTCCACGTGCTCGAGCACCTCTACCGCGTCTGGCTCGAGAGCGACAGCAGCAACAACAACGCCGTGCCGCCGATCTCGACGTATGCGCTCAACGGCGCCGCCAAGCACGGCCATCTTGCGATCCTGCGCTACTTGCACGCGCTGGACGGCGTCGTCGGCTGGACGACCGACTGCATGAACAGCGCCGCGGCCTCGGGCCACCTCGACATCGTGCGCTTCTTGCACGAACATCGCAATGAAGGCTGCACCGTCTACGCGATGAACCAAGCCGCCGAGCATGGCCATCTGCACGTCGTGCGCTTCCTCCACGAGCATCGTACGGAAGGGTGCACGAGCTTTGCGATGGACCAAGCGGCCAAGAACGGCCATCTCGGCGTTGTCCGCTTCCTCCACGAACACCGCAACGAAGGCTGCACGACGTACGCCATGACGAGCGCGGCCTTTTCGGGCCATTTAGAGATTGTTCGGTTCCTCCATGAAGTGCGCCACGAGGGCTGTACAAAGGAAGCGATGGACGGCGCCGCGCTGTACGGGCACCTCGACGTCGTCCGCTTCTTGCACGAGTACCGCAACGAAGGCTGCACGGCGCGCGCGATCAACTGGGCAGCCGCGCACGGCAGCCTCGACGTCGTCCGCTACTTGCATTTGCACCGGTCGGAAGGCTGCGTGCACCACGCAAGCGCGCTCGCGGCGCAGTTTGGCCACGCGACGATCGTGAGCTGGTGCCGCACGCTGCGGTAGACCCTTCTTCTCTTATTTCTCGATATGGTTTGCATGACTAAAGTGTACACCAACTAACGTACACAAATATATATTCCCAATGCCTTGCACGTGAATTCGCACACATGAGACAGAGAACCCGACGCTGCGGCTGCCACGTCATAAGGTATCAAGTTTGACAATGTATGTATTTTGAGAGGACAAAAGATCGCCACGCGCGACCAGGTTGAAGAAGGTCCATCATGCGTTCTGAGAGAATCACCAGTGCCACAATCGGCTGCGACGAGGCCACGGTCGCACTGGCTTGACGACGTACTATCTAAGGCAATCGGTGGCCCTTCAACTCTTTTCTTATTGCGCTGAGCGGCGGTGCTGATGGGGTTGACGAGGCTGTCAGTTCACACATGTGATTCTCGTCGGCAGGTTCGTAGCTCGAGTAGCGACGAGTCACCGGTTTTGTGTCGACGACAACCGAGCGAATCAACTACTAGTATTGGTTACAGTGGTGAACTACTACAGTGTGACTAGACGATCGAGGACTTGGCTAGCTGTTGGCCGACCTGCGGAGTCCACCAACGTGCACTCATTGACGAGATCTGCGTACCCTGGCGGATATGAGCTGCAGGTTTCGCCACGAAGATGCCATAGGGTCGCCCAGAGCTTACCAAGCGAGTAGACATTGGACGCGAACGTTGTTGGTGCCCCGGCGGCCACTTCGGGCGCCATGTACAGTGCAGCGCCCGTGGTGTCGACGCCGCAGCTTTTCACCTTGACGCGTCCGTTGCCGTCGACGGCGATGGCATTTGGGACCAAATGTGCCACGACCGCCTTCCGTGCATGCAGTGCCGCCAGCGCTTCAGTTATCGCGCGCACCAGCGCCATGACGTGGCAGCTCGTGCGTTGCAGAAACGGTCGCAGCCTCGTCGTCGCCTCGACAACGACCATCGGCGTCGGGAGCTCGAGAACGAGGCCGAGCAAGTGCACCGTGTGCTCCGAGTTGTGGCGGTAGGCGTCGAGGACAAGCTGTTGGGCGCTGTGTCCGCGCGGCGCGGGCTCAAGCACGACCGAGGCACCCAGGTACAAGTACGCGATCGGGTGTCCCACCGGGCTGCCAACGATCTGGAGGAGCTGCAACGGAATGATCGGCAACGGCGCCACGGTCCACACCAGCGGCTGTAAGACACGTGCGGCGGCGCCGGCCGTCGGCCGCTCCCGAGGATCCCGCTGCATACACTGACGCGCAAGCGCAAGAAGGCCCGGTGGGCCGTCGGCGAACGGCTCGAGAAGGGTCGTGAGAAGGACGCCAAACGAGTACATGTCGGCGGCTGCCGTGTAGTCGTCGGTGTCGAACACCTCGGGGGCCATGTACTCGTAGGTACCGGTGCGAGTTGTCATGGTGCGTCCGGTGACCTTGCAGCCGACGCCAAAGTCGGCCACCTTGACATGCCCGTGTGCATCGAACAGGATGTTGGCCGGCTTGATGTCCCGGTGGATGATGTTGCGCTCGTGGAACGAGGCCAAAGCGCCGGCAATCTCCAGTGCGATCGTTATGACCTCGCCGAGAGTGAGGGTGCCTCCGTAGAGGCGCTCCTGCAAACTGCCGCCCGCCATAAACTCCATGACAATACATCGCGTGACGAGCTTTGGGTGGGACGGAACCGGAAGGACCGACGTGCCGACGAGCTCGACCGTGTGTATTGACGTCCCAAGCTCGGCGAGGAGCCACACTTCATGCTCAAAGATCTCTTTTGTCGTGGCCGGCGAGAGGACTTTGACCGCCACGTCGCGGCCATCAAGAAGACTGCGGTAGACGGCGCCATTGGAGCCCGAACCAAGAAGGTGCGTCATCGGCCCTAGCTCGTGAGGTGCCAGGACGCGGACGGTCTGGAGCTTCTTAACCTTCTCAGTCGACTCACCTAGGCACGCCACTACGTAGTCGATCGACGGTCGCTTGGTCGCGTCCGAGTTCATGCACTTGGCAACGAGAAGCGAGAGCCATACGGGACATTGACGCGCCAGCAACGCTCGTCGATTGCCCAGCTGAACAAACCGGATGAGATCGGCGGGGGCCTTGACCTCGAGCGACATGCCGCTCACGTACAGATGGGCCACGAGCGCCCCGAGTGCATAGACATCGGCGGCTACCGTCGCATGGGTACTGCACTCGGGGTCCGAGTACGCAGTGCGCGGCCGGGCGCCAACGTCGATCAACTTGACCATAATACGATCGTCCGCCGCAGCTGCAACGAGGATGTTGGCGGGGTTCATGGCGCCATGAACGATGCCTCGGACGTGAAGTGACGCGACGGCTTCTGCGAGCGCCAGCGATAGCGATAGCCGGGCGCGTCGTGGTAGCGGCGACGTCTGATTCTGGTCCAGGACTTCTTGTAGACTAACGAACGCTAGTGCGTCGCGGGCTGGCGGCGGCGGCTTGAAGCCAAGAAACTCGCTCAATGAAAACGCGGCCGTCGGCGCAGATACCGCAAAGAGACGTCCTGGACAGCCGTGATTGATGCGCTCGGTGACGATGCCCCACTGACCGTCGGCGTTCTCGGTGATGCCGTACACATGGAGCGTCTCGGGCGACGACCCTAGCCCCAGCCGGTGCATGGCAGTCGCTGCGGCATGGACGCCAACCGCATTGCTGGCGTCAGGTGTCAAGACCGACACCTTCTTGCCTCGCCAGAGAAAGGGCCGGAAGCGACCAACAGGGCTGGCAAAACCGACGTCGTCCGTATCGGCGCAGAGTTCGGGCGAGTGAATCACGTCTGGCAGCGGCGACGCGCAGCCAGTGGCAGCCATGCGGTCAAAGCTACAGTGAGGTCGGCAGCAGAGAATCGGTAGCGAGATACTTAATATCAACTTGCCAACTTGATACTCCTCGTCGAGTCCTACGCTTGGGCGCCGCAAGGAGTCGCTCAGCCCTGTGCCATGCCTTCCACTAGAGATAGCCCAAACAACCGTAGACGTAGATTCTGTCGCATCATCCTGTCTGCCCAGTTTAGTTGGCTTGCTGCACGTAGCGTTCAAAGACGGGGCGCGCCGCCTTGATGTTGAGCTGGGTAGTCGCCGCTTGGATCGAGCCGTCGCTCATGATGACCATGATGTACGTGTTGGTCGTGAAGAAGTCCATGTACGCCGTAAAGTTCGAGTTGCGCACCTCCATGCCCTGGAACTGCGCCTGCGTCTTGGAGCAGCTGAGCTTGAACTGCTTGATGATGTTGGAGATCTTCTCGAAGCGGTGCATGTCCCGATGGGTGGTGTGCGTCGCGTTGGCAATCACGAGGAACGTCGCTCGCTCAAAGAGCACGACCTCGTCGGCGTTGCAGATGGAGCAAAACACATTTAGATGGTGCTCGAGGTCCTGCATGTTGGGGATGAGCGAGTAGACGATCGACGACCACGCGCGGTACAACGTCTCGTCCCAGATCGACGTGCCAAAACAGACGGTTGGGATTTGCTACAAGCAGCATGATGCAGGCGAAGAGGACGGAAGTACGACGTACGCCGGTCCGCGACAAGATCATGTCCTTGCGCTGCTCAAAGACGGCGTCGCGCTGAGCCTCGGGCACGAGGTCCATCTTGTGGATGAGCACAAACACCTTGGCCGACTCGGAGTTTTGCTCGATCGCTTCGAGGCAGCCGTCAAAGTGGTTCATGTCTTTTTCGAGCTCGCGCGACTCGATGTCGAAGACGTAGATAAGCAGCTCGACGCTGCGGAAGATGTGGTCGCGCTGGCTCTCAAAGTAGTTTTCGTAGAACGCGTCTTGGCTAGAAGAGCGTGCATGAATAGAGGCAAGGCAACGCGCAGGCGTACCCGCCGCAGTCCCAGAGGTTGAGCACGAGGTTGCCGAGGAAGCGGACGTGCGAGTGCTCGACGTCGACTACGTAGGATGCGTGAGCGGCAAGGCGAGAAGCGAAAGCACCGACGGGTGGGGCCAAGGCGCATCGTGTCACGGGCTAGACACCATCATGCGCAGTCAGACATGGCAAGCGGGCAGGCAGACGCACCGAGGTAGTTGGCGAAGATGATCGAGCGCATCGAGGTCTTGCCCGAGCCGGACTTGCCCATCAAGAGGACCTACGGCAGGCGGGCCATGAGCTGGCGGCCAGCGCGACCGACGGACCTTCTTCTTCATGCTGCGGACGTCGGCGCTGCAAAACTCGCTTTGAACGGACTTAGGGAATCTTCCGGTTAATTGCGAATCCGGATAGGTATCCGGACCCCGGCCCGCTGGTCCGTGCACACGCCCGTAATTCGCTAACTATGCACAATATTGTCATTAAAATGCGGTCGCATTCAGCAAAGGACCGTCGGCCCTTGCTGTGCCAAGCGCGAGCGAGCCAGCGTCCGCCATGCAGCAGGTGTCGCCGACTCCAAGCCCAGCGATCACCACACCACTGAGGCGACTGGGACGGCTCGCCTGTTGTTACGAGTCGTACTGCCCAAGGAATAAGAGTCGAGGGCTCCTAGAACCCGAGCTGCATGCGCCATCTTGGGTGCAAAGGTAGTGCGTCCCTGCCAGGGATACATGCACCTTCCCTGTCCCTTGGGCTACTAGTACAAGCAAGCGTCGTCGCTTGCTCGAGTGGCACCGAGCGCCTCGTTTCTGCACCCTGCACCCTGCCATCACCTCGTCCTTTACGCAGCCGACGGCCTGCCGTCGCTAGCGGTATCAGCAAGCCTCCTCCTAACGTTAGTGTCCTGTCAAGGCTTTGCGCAGATGGTCCTTGCCACTCAAATCACGATGCACCCGAGTACCCAAGCCGCATGCGCGCTAGCTCTAGACGCACCGTCAAGCTACTATACTGTGAAAGGTGTAGATACACACCGTAGAAGACAATCTGTGCAAAGTTCTGGTGCCAAGGTGCAGGTTGAGGTTGAAGCCGGACTTAACGGCTGGTTAAAAATACCGGCTGCGTATCCGGATGACCCCGCACCACACGCAAACCGGCAACGACGACGACGACGCTCGCGACCAGAAGCATGGCAGGCATGGCGGCGACGTCGTGGATCTTCCTCCTCTTCTGCGTCATCAACATGCTCAACTACGTCGACCGCGGGATCATCCCGGGCGCGCCGACGCAGTTCCAGTACTTCATCGAGGCCACGCTGCACATCTCGGTGACGCAGGAGGGCTTCTACCTCGGGCTGCTCGCCTCGTCCTTCATTGCGAGCTACGCCGTCTTCATCGTGCTCTTCGGGTACCTCTCGATCTTCATGAAGCCCTTCCGCCTCATCGCGATCGGCCTCTTTGTGTGGTGCATCGCCATGGCCATGTGCGGCCTCGCCAAGACGTACCAGAGCTTCGCGCTCCTCCTCGCCGGGCGTATCCTCAGCGGCATTGGTGAGTCGTCCTTCCAGTGCATTGCGCCGCCGTTCATCGACGACCACGCGCCGCCCTCGACGCGGACGCTGTGGATGGGCGTCTTCTTCACGCTCACGTCGGTACGCGATAGCCGCATAATCGCTCTCACTCAATCGCATACATGGCTAGGCGGGCACCGCGCTCGGGTACGCCTACGGCGCGGTCATGTCCAACTCGTCGTGGGGCTGGGGCTGGGCGTACTACCTCGAAGCGCTCGCGATGCTGCCGCTCGCTTACATTTGCCTCGTGGGCATTCCGCCGGCGTACGACCAGCCCGCGAACGCGACGGCCGAGCACCACCTCAAGCTCGACGAAGAGCAAGGCAAGACGCTACTGCAAAAGGAGGCCGAGTCGCCGCGGCTGTCGTTCTGGCAAGAATCGTACGAAGTCATGGTCCACCCGGTGTTCCTCCTGAGCGTACTCGGGTCGGCAGCCTTCACCTTTTCGATCTCGGGCCTCGGCGTCTTTGGCCCGCTCTTCCTCATCGGGCTCGGTGTGTTTGAGCACGAGACCGAAGCCTCGATGGTCTTTGGCGCCCTAGTCGGTACGTCCTTACTCTTTCTAAAGTGCAATCTCAGACAGGCGGTATCCTTGTGGGTAGTGGTGAGCGCGGTCGTCGGCACGCCGCTCGGTGGGTACCTTCTCGACCTCTCGTCGCATCAAGTGCACGCGACCGTGCGCCAGTACTATGCGCTGCGGCAGATGTTCCTCCTCATGGCCATCGGGACCGGCCTCGCGATCCTTGCGTGGTACGGACTCCCGTCCAAGATGTGGTTCCTCTCGCTCGTGGGCCTCGCCCTCATCTTTCTGTTTGCGACGCCGTCCTGTACCGCCATTGCCGTCCTCCTCTGCGTCGAGCCGTCGCGACGACCGCTGGCGGTCGCTGTCAATACGCTCCTTATCCACGCGCTCGGCGATGTACCGTCGCCGATCATTCTCGGCTGGCTCAAGGACAAGTACGCGCCCAACTGCGGCAGCATCGAGGTCGACGGCGCCATTGTGCTCAACCCGCGCTGCAGGTACCTCTCTCGCCGAGCGATAAGTTCTTAGCATTTGAATGCCTAGCGATGACGCGGAAGGGCTCTTGCTCACGTTTCTCTTTCCGCTGCTCTGGATGCTCTGGACGGTCCTTGCGTGGGGCATTGCGGTCGTCGTCGTTCGCTGCCGCCTCGTGCGCGAAGGCCACTCGTTTTAGCGAGGAACTAGACAAGTCAGCAATAGTAGTTCTATAAACTAAACTATCGTCGTGCGTGCTATCTCACGTGTGCCTTCTGCCGCGTTGCATCGCAGGAGACGGGCTTGGCCAGCTATCGCGGTCGCCTTTGTCGAAGGACGCGATCGCGGCGTCCCTCGTGCGGCCTGCACCAACCCTAACCCTACAAGGAACGACAGTATTACATAGCAAATAATACATAGTTGGCGCCATTATACTAGCTACTGCATATTGTCGCTCAGGAGCTGGACAACGTCGGCGGCCGTCGGACGACGAGTCGGGTCTTGGGCCATGCACAGAAGCGATAGGTCCCGGAACCAGGCGGGGCACGACGGACTCAGCGTCGGTCGGAGCAAGCCGGCCGAGACCTGCGCGACCTTCTTTGTCAGCGCACTGTGGTTGTCAGCATACGGCTCTTGGAGCGTCTCGAGCTGCGTGAAGAGGACGCCAAGGGCAAAGACGTCGGCAGGAAACGACGGCGGCTGCCCCAAGAGCACTTCGGGCGCTAGGTAGGCCATCGTCGACGCGCCGCTCACCGTCACGTCGTCGTCGTCGCGGTCGTAGCCAAAGTCACTGAGCTTGACGACGCCCTTGGCATCAAAGAGGACGTTGGTCGGCACGAGGCTGCCGTGGACTTGGTCGTTCGCGTGCAAGAACGCCAGCCCTTTAGCGAGCGCCACCGCGACATACAGGACGTTGCGCAGGTCCTGGGCCGGCCACGCCTGCCGCGCTTTCTGTGCGAGGAACTGCCGCAGGTTGCCATTCAGCATGCACTCCATCACGAGCGTCGAGCCGGCGAGGCCGAGAAGCTCAACCGTGTGCTCGGACCCAAGGCGTGCCATGCGGTTGGCCGCCGCTTCGACCCTCGATGGGTGCAGCGTCAGGAACGTCTTGATCGCGACCATACGGTCGCCGTAAATCCCGCGGGCGACGGAGCTGAACGCGTTGCCACCGACAACACCGACGGGCGCCACCTCGGACGGCGGGATCTGGGGCAGTGTCACTGATGGCAGCACCAGGCGGCGGGACGTTGGCATCTGGTCGGTGAGGATCTCGACAATCTCGGCCGCCGTCGGGCGGTTGTTTGGGTCGGTGGCTACGCAGCTGGCCACGAGGCGCTTGTACCAAGCTGGTGCTGTCGGGCGCAGCGCGGGCCGGTACCCGTTGAGGACTCTGCCTTGTAGGACGAACGGACTGCACTTTTCGCCGGCGTACGGCGCTTTGAGCGTATCGAGCTCGGTGAGGAGGATGCCAAACGAGTAGATGTCGGCTTGCACCGTGTAGTTGCCGCTGCTGATGACTTCGGGGGCCATCCACGGCGTCGTGCCGATGCCGTTGGTCATCGACTCGACGTCATATTGCCGCGAGATACCGAAGTCGCCGAGCTTGACCGACACCTTGTCGTCGCTCAGGAGCACGTTGGCGGGCTTGAGGTCGCGGTGGATGATGCTTTGGTTGTGGAGGTACACCAAGCCTTTGGCGACGCTCAGCGCAATGAAGAGTAGCGAGGTGACGTCGTGGTCGGTGTCGTCAGTGGCGCCAAGCAGCTTGAGATGTTCGTGCAGGTTGCCGCCGCTCATGTACTCCATCACGATCTGCGGCTGGTCGTGCTCGTTGTGCGAGATGCCGAGGAGCTGCACCGTGTAGAACGAGCTGAGGCGGTACATGACGCCGACTTCCTTTGCAAACGACTCGTGGTCGTCGCCGTTGACGTTGCCGCTCGTGACGTGGAACGTCTTGACAGCGACAGGACGCTTCTTGTAGATGCACAGCGCAACCGAGCCGTACGCGCCGCGACCGAGCGCCGACCGCATCCGGAGATTAGCGGGGTCGATGCGAGGAATTGTCTCGGGCAGGCTTGCCGTGCGCTGGAGGAACGACGCGCTGAGCGACGAGCTCGATGACAGCAGCGCCGTCTTCTTCTTGGCCGACCCGCTGCTGCCGCTGGACGACGCGGTCGAAACGACGCTGTCGCGCCGCCGCTCGGGTCGCCGCTCAAGGCTGGCCGTAGACCTGCGCTCGGAGCTTGCAGTCGCCCGGCGCTCATCGGAGGCCCGACGCTCGACGCTCGCGGTTGATCGGCGTTCGGCGCTGTCGATGGACCGCTGGCTAGAGCCGTCGCGACGGCGCCGCGCCACGACCTCGAGCACGATGTAGATGTAGCCCGTGATCTTGTCGTGGAGCGAGAGCTTGAACCACTGCTGGAAGCAGGACGGGCTCGTGGGCACGGGAACCTCGCACGTCCCGATCGCAGCGCCCGGCCCGTCGTGCGTATCGAGATCGTAGACGTCGACCTGGAGGTACGGGCAGGCGGCCACGTTGATTTTGGCGAAGCGGTGGCGGAACTTCCAGCGCGGCGCCTCCCGCCCAGCCGGGTCGACGTCGGTCTGGGCGCTGTCGTGGGCGTAGCGCACGAGCGCGTACGGGCGCTTGACGTTCCCAAAGAACTTGGAGCTCCGGAGGTCGTGCGCCTGCGGAACCTTGACGACGAGGTCCATTTCTTGCAAATCGTCAAGTGCAAAGTCGGGAGCTTCGATTTGCAGCCGTTCATTCCCTTAAACAAGTACAGTCGGGGGCCACGACTCAACGGCTCTCTGGTACCTCGACGCGCGCGCCATGCACGCCATGGTGAACACTGATGCCAGTACGCTTACTAGTGCGCTAGGACAGCGTGCGCTGGTGTGACGGTCGCGATGCGCTTGAGAGCCACATGCCATAGGCAAACCATGCTCGAGCCAAATAATGCTTGGCAGCATTCCAACCTGTACTTGGATAAGCGAATGGGTGGTTGTCGTATCCGGACGCTTCAACCCCGTGCGGCCGCCATCCTTCGAGTATCACGTCCGTCGGCCAACTCTCTTCTCGAAAAGCCCTGGGGCAATGCGAGGCATCTCAGCTGGAGACATGGTCGAGTGATGGTGCTGACGTTGCGCGCTTCCGCTGGGTTCGGTTCTGGCCGGCCTTTCTTTTGTCGCAGAATCCAGTTGGTAGACTATGACGTCGTAACGAATGCGATAATTATATAATAGGCTGTACAATATTGTCATGCACTTGTAGTCGTGCAAAATAGCCTACGAGAGCATAGGAAGCTTAGGCGAGGTTTGCAAGTCGAGAAGGCGAAAGGCACCGCTGATTGGATAAAAATGAGCCAATGCTTGCTTGCGATTGGCTGAATATACCGGTCGGGGCCAGCACAGGATTGGCTTGAAGCCAATATGACGTGGCAGCGCTGCGTAGCGAATGGACTGCGTTTCGATGCAGATGGCCGGCACACTGCTGTCAAGGGTCCCCACCACGACTAGAGGGACGTATCACAGTCATACAGTACCATATACTAAAGAGACACGCAGGACGACTTGAGCAATGGGGTCCCGTTGGTTGGTGCATCGAGCCTGTACCTTTCTTCTGCGTGCGCACGGCCTGTGCTGGGCATTTGCCATACAAAGGTAATGTGAGACGAAAAGGGTGTACTAGTAGTTGGGATTACGTGGCCGTGGCATAGCGCTCGGTCGGTGTGGAGTCGGGTCGGGTCACTTTAAGCGGCGGCTCCTTGCGGCGGTTGTTGCCCTTCCACAAAAAGCCCATCTGATTGAGCTGTGTGATTTTCTCGGGCGTGAGGGCGTCGACGCCGTTGCGAATGTTGTTGACCCAGACGCCGAGGAGTGCGCCGCGGGTCTCGCGCGGCCAGTCGTCGGGCGCGACAAAGACCTGGGGCACATTGACGTTGCCAAACCGACGCGCGTACTCTTGCAGCGCGAGCAAGTTGGTTTCCCACATGGCGTGGAACATATCCCAGACGAAGCCGAGCGCGTCGAGCTTGGCGCGCGTCTCGTCCGAGCACTTGATGCGGCCCGTGCGGATGTTGCTCACGTGAAACCCGAGATGGAGGCCCCACGTGTCCTTGGGCCACGCCGGGTTAAGGTCGGGCACGACAAATAAGTGCGGCACGCGCAGATCCCCATGCAGCGTGCGGTACGCCTCGAGTGCGAGAAGGCGCACCGTCCACTTGTGCGACCGCGTGCACCATACAAACTGCAGTGCGTCAAAGGCCTCGACGTACGCGGCCGGCAAGAGTTTGCGCCGGTGCAGCTGCCGGAGGTAGTTGCCGTTCAGCGACTGGCCGCGCAAATGCATTGGCCACGGCGCTTCGTGCGGCACATTGACGGTAGTCGAGAGGTACGTGAAGTCCGAGCGGTGGGCCTGAAGCGACCGCGTCACCTGCGTGACCGTCAGCATGTTCTTCAAGAACATCTCGTTTGTCGAGCTGCTCTGGCTCGTCGCGAGCTTGCGGGCGACGCCCTTGGCGGACGCCGTCGGCGCCAACCGCCAGAGGAGGCTCATGCTGAAGAAAGTGCAACTTCGGTTGGCTTCGAAAACGTGGTCTTGATTGGCCCGAACTCCATGTGCGAAACGCCAACGATTGGCTGAAATGCGCAGGACATTTGTTCAGTTAGTCGACAATAGTCGTTTAGTCGGCGCGCTTCAGTCGACATGTCGCAGGCTTATTTCAGTCATTTAGTCGTTTAGTCGTTTAGTGTGGCGCATGCAAGATCGCGCTCCTTGCAGTTGGGGCGGCCTCTTTTTTAATGCAATTCCATACAAACAATAAGCTATAATAAAAAAAAGCATGCAATAAGGGCGACGCCTTGCATACCAGGTGGTGTGCAAACAACAACTGACGAGCGTCGAGTAGCCGGCAACGACGATGATGATGTGGCGAGCTCTGCGCACGCCAGGCGCCCGCGCGATGAGCTCGGCGGCGCCATGGGACCTCTGGCGACAGGCCATTGCGACGTCGGGCGAGTCGGCCTTCCTGCGCTCGTTCGCGCTGCCCCGCGACCGCGGCGCGCTTGCGCAGCTCATGCGCCAGGTGGCCACGAACCAGGAGCGCCATGGCGGTACGTCGCCGCCGCTGCGCTCGCTAGCTCCTGCCTTCCATAGACTTTGTGCCCCGCGTCGTCGTCCAGAGCATCTGCAAAGCGTACAAGTCGCTCGACTTTGACGGAAAGCGCGACTTTCAGCTGGCGCTGGCACGGGACCTGCACCTCGACACGGCCGCGGTAGCCGCCCTCTTGACCTATCTACCGAGTCGCTAAGGGCAATGGATTAGCTCCAGCAGCAGCTGCAAGCGACCATGACCAACTTGAAGACGGTCTCCACCGACGACGGCGCGGTCGACTGGACGCACGAACAGCTCGAAAAGTACCTGCGCTCGACGCGCGTCCTGCGCGAGACGCTCACGCCACTCCACGAGGTGCGTCGGTTCGAATGTAATTTGTATCAACTTGACACGTAGCTGCTTTTTCACCAAATTTTGAGCCAGCTACCGAATGGCATGCTCTTTCTTGTGCAGCTCCGCGCCGACGTGCGCACGACGCTCGCCAAGACGCACACGACGTCGGCGAAAAACGACCTTGTCGCCCTCCGCGCGCTCGACAGCCAGCTGCAAGCGTTCCTCGCTGAGTGGTTTGCGGTCGGGTTTCTCTCGCTCGAGCGCGTGACGTACGAGCACTCGCCCGGCGCGCTCCTCGAAAAAATCATTCGCTACGAAGCGGTTCACCCCGTCGGCACGATCATCGAGCTCAAGCGCCGCCTCGGGCGCGGCCGGCGTTGCTACGCCTTTTTCCACCCGAGGTACTCGTTTATTTTTTCGACCAACTAATGGTTGTCGCAACTAGTGTGCCGGACGAACCCTTGGTGTTTGTGCATGTGGCGCTCGTGCCCGAGATGGCGACGGGCATGGGCTACATTAAGGACGCGACCGAAGGCCTCGAGCACGAGCATGACGCGCACGCCGCCATCTTTTACTCGATCTCGTCGACGCAGCCCGGTCTCCAGGTCGATACGTTGATATTTTTGTTAGCTGAAAAAGGGACTAAATTATAGATTTAGGGCGTCGACTTGGGCAACTACCTCATCAAGCAGGTCGCCAAGCGCTTGCAAGAAGAACTCCCGAACGTCTCGCTCTACTCGACGCTGAGTCCGATCCCGGGTTTTGTCAAGTGGCTTGAAATTACGGTATTTGTTGGTGCGTACTGATGGTAGAAACTCAGTACTGACGTAGGGTGCGAGCGCGGTTCTCCCGGCAGAGGCGAGTGCGTTGGCTGCCCACGGCTTTGCGTCGGTCTTGGCTGCTCTTTCGGTGCCGCAGTGGCACGAAGACGCGGCGCTCACGACGCTCCTTCGCCCAATTTTGCTGCGTCTTGGCGTCCACTACCTCTACCTCGAGAAGAAACGCGGGAAGGCGCTTTGCCCCGTCGCCAACTTTCACTTGCGGAACGGTGCCATCTTGGAGCGGCTCAACTGGCTCGGCGATCCATCGCCCAAGGTAGTATTTATTGCTTGATTCTTTTTAATTTGATTTAAATCGATATGCGGCGCTAGGGACTGGCGCAGAGCGCGGGCCTCATGGTCAACTACAAATACGATCTGGACCACGTTGAAGCCAACAACGAAGCGTACTTGTTGCACAACACGATCGCCATCGGGGCCGCGGCGCGCGCGTGCTTGGCGTAGCAACCCTACCCCTCGCGCTTCCCCTAGCCCTAGCTTCATTTGCCGACATAAAAACATACTTTTGTTGCGTGTTAGGCGTGGGGTTGACATTGAATCAAGCTGACGTCGGAGCGGGCAAAGGAAACACCGAGGTGCGTCGGTTGAAGGGACGCATAAAAGGCTGCAACCCCCGCACACAGCGGCGTCGTCGTTGCCAGAATAAGCCGAAGCGACGGCGAGAACCGTGCAGGCACCGCCGACAGTTGCGTACCTCGTACATCGACCGTGTGCACGCGTGGGAGCTGCCACACCGATGGCGGCAAGGTCGTCAAGGGGTTTCGCGATACGTTGAGGAGCTGCAAGGCGGCGAAGTCGTCTTCTCGCACCGCCTCGATGGTCGACGCGCTCGTGTTGACAAAGTGCAAGCCAACGAGCTGCGGAAAGCGTATGTATGTCGGCGGAAACGGCAGCTGCGTGTCGGCCACGTCGAGCGTCACAAGGAGGCTGCGGACGGCATCGCGCGGCCATTGCATCACGGTGCTGCTCTCGACGCGGACGTGCAGCATGCGCAGTAGCGCGACCGGAAACGTCGCGTCGTGCGGCGTCACGTTCCGAAGCGAGATGAACGTGGTCGTTGGCGTCAAGGACGCCCACGTGGTGTCGGTTGTAGTGCAGTTGATCAACGCCACAGCGAGTACCTCGAGTGCTGGAAGGATCGTGTGGTCGCAGTCGAGAATGCGGAGCGCTACGAGGCGTGGCAGCAGTGGCACGGCTTCGCAATTGCGACTGGTGTAGACAAGGCAGCACGGCGCAAGCGTGAAAAGCTGACCACGTGCCATGTCACAACCAGGCGCCGATCGTCGCATCACGACACAGTAGCTGTCCCACGCCACAGCTACAAGCGCGAGAAGCCACTGACTGTGCATCGTCCAGCGACCCCACCGCGACCATGTAGTCTTGGCCGTGTGGAGAGCTGGCATCGTGGCGGCGGTGACAGAAGGGCGTCGGACAGTCCACTGCCGCACCTTGAGCGGCGAGGACACGGCTTTGGACGGTTGCACGAGATGCGGCGAGGACACGGCTTTGGACGGTTGCACGAGATGCGGCAAGAGCCAAAGCACCCACGTGGTGAGGATGGACTGCACAGCAAAGATGCCTGCATGGAGAGACTGGTCATAGGCGGCGGTGAGCGACGGACCCCAGACGGTCAGTGGTGTCGACGGCGTCCATAAGCCAAGAACGAGCAGCGTCCATGTTTGCAACGACCACAGCCATGCAGCACGACCGACAGTTTTCAACTGCACGGTGCAAGCCGACACCACGCACCAAAGCCCAAGGACGCCGTAGCTGGCAGTGCGGCTACTGCTAAAGTAGCTCGCATCGTGGAGCTGAACCAACCAGAGAGCAAGTGCGACAGAGCCCATGAGAGCGATGGCAGACGGCTGTGCGGACCACGTCGCTAGCGACGCCTCGCACGCGAGCCATGAACGAGCAAAGCGGAAGCGTTTGGCAATGAGCGACGCCACGACGAGGGCGCTAAGGTCCAATGTCGCTAGGCACATCGCGCTGCCAAGCAGAAGCACGGCCCAGCTGCTGTTGTCCTGAGCGTTTGACGCCAAGACCGCTTGAACGCGAAGCAAGAGCACGCAGAGAACGAGGCTTTGCGAGACGAGATGGCCCCACCAAAGCAGCTGGTAGCTCGTGTGCGAGAGGACGTGGCAGCTCGGTGGCGCAGCTTGTGGCTCACCAAATACGCGCAGCTTGGGTGGAGACGGTAAGCCAAGGTCGGCTACATCGTCGGTCGACGCGAGATAGGCCTCGACGCGCACCACCATCTTCGAAATCTTACAGTTTGGGTGTTTCGCCCGTTGCATCTCGGTCCGTCCCCATCATTTTATTTGCGTGGCACCTTGAGAAGCTCGCTCGGGCGATCTTATGTCTCGTCCTTCATGTAGTGTTTTGTGAATGAAAAAAAGTGGTAGGAGGAGGGTTTTTGATGTGATAAAAGGAGGGAGAATTTGAATGAGAAGAATGTGTTTGAAAATGAAGTTTGTGATTTGAAAAAGTAGTTGGCTTGCGAGAAGGCGACGTTGGATTTCAGTCGTGTTTAATTATGGCTGATTGCGGCATTTACGATTTAAATATGGTATATATGGCATCAACCACCTGTCAAAATATGGTTGCAAGCGGCATATGCCATTTTGAATCGCGTCAGCCAATCACATTCGAGAATGGCCTCCGTGGCGCTCTTGGTCGGGCCGTCGACGCCGACGACGTGCCGCGTCTCGTCCGTGCTGAACAAGGACCGTACGCTGTACGGCGCCCAGGTATTGTGTGTGGACATAGTGTCTATTACACTGTAGACACAATGCGTAGAACATGTTTGACGGCGTCGACGATACCTGCTGGAACTCGGGGCAAGGCCACGGCCAGCAAGTGTGCCTTCTCTTCCACCGGTACCCAGAAGCAATGCCTCGACGGGCCCCTTCTCATAGATAACATTCGCTAGCGCCGTGCATGTGAAGCGCGTGGAGCTCATGTTTCAAGGCGGCTTTGTGGGCGAAGATGCTAAAGTGCTCATAGCAACGCAGGCGACGCCCGAGCTGCACGTCGCAACCGAGTGTCATTTCAACGACAGCAACGAGCTGCAGACATTGGAGCTGAACTGCACAGACGTGACGCAGCTGCGACTGCAGTTTGATCGGAGCTCAGACTTTTATGGCCGTGTCCTTCTCTACCATTGCCGCGTCTTGGGCCACGAAACTCTGTAATATGATGCTATATATGCTGTATTCATCAAACACTGTACGCTTGCAAGCCGCGACAAGGGATCCAAAACCGCAGCCTGTCTATTTTGGTGATCAATGACCGAGCTGGCGACGCCCGACACGAGCGCGATCGTCGTGTTCAACGAGCTGAGCGCCAGCTGCCTCCCCAAGAAGGACCCACCCCCGCGCAAGCACCGGCGCCTTCTATTTATGGTTGCCGGTATGGCGTTTGTCCTTGTCTGCGTTGTCGTTGCAGCAGTGCTGACGCAACAAGCGTCGGCGGCTGCGTCCAACCCAGGAAATCTACCGTCGACGACGAGCAATGTACCGAGCTGCGCAATACGTGGGTGGACTACTGAAGCTTCTATAGAGCGAGGCGACGCCAGACGTCACCAGGACAGCACTGACGTCACCACCTGCCACCTCCGTTTCGGCGACAACGCCACCCGCGTTGACAGAGACCAATGGTACACCTCCCAATGCTTCTCAAGCGCCAGATCTGACGCCGCCCCCGCCAGCGTCGACCATGTCCCCCTCAAGCAGTACAGTAAATGTCATTATGCCTCGTGACGTGAAGATGCGTAGTCATGCCTCTTCGGGCGTACCACGACTCTGGCTTTGCGTGGCGGGATCCCAACAACTGGAGCGGTGACGCGGGCGCGTCGATCGACTTTGCCCTAAGCGCATTTGACGGCACGAAAATCTCCGTCTCGACCTTTGGCAAACCGTATGCGGCGTCGCCCGTGCTTCGCACGATCCGCGGCTGGTCGGGCGAAAAGGTCTTGTACATTGAGTGGACGACGTACGCGCAGTCCAACACCAACATTTGGCTCTTGCCAACATTGCTCACGCACCAATTTGGGGATCCGCGCTGGCCACATTGTGGCGAATATGACATTTTTGAAATGTTCAATGGCGGCAAACCTGCGGGCACGAAAAACTACTTCAACTATGGCTATTTTGGCCAATCGACGACGCACATTGCGTCCCTTGAGTGCTTTGCCCCCGAGTACATTGCGTCCCCGATGGTATCGATATTCCATAGACATTCAAATGCGACGTTTGTGGTTAGGTGTCGTCGAGCGCCGCCCAGTACGAGATCGAATTGGGCGTCTCGACGACCATGGCCGTCATCTTTGGCTCCGACGACCGCGGACAATACCTCCAGCAGATCCAGAACCCGGTGTTGCTGCCTGGACCCAACGCAACCTTCGACATCTCGCTCAGCGACGGTGTCATTGGCGCGCGCATCTACAACGATGCCAACCACTACTGGGGGGTCCCCCCCGTCGGGGGCTGTGCCGCGGGCTTTGATCCCGCGACCGGGTACCCTTTCTTTGGCGAGTTTCGACTCGTGCTCCAAGAACAGTATTTGGGCTACTTTGACGTCACGAACTTTCTCGTACTGCAAAAGCGCACGTAGCTCTTTGTCCCGTAATATGTTATTTCTTTTCGTAAATTGCTCGTTATTTCCTCACCGGCAGAAAGCAGGAGAACTGCAAATCAACGCCGCCACATAGAAAGGACAAACGACCGTCGTATGCGCCGATGAACGTACGACGGGCACGAATTAACCCCTATTTTTAGGCCATTTTCCAATGATTGCGTCGACACGGACGGCGCCCACGACGGACATGCGACCTTCCGGAGGCAGCAAACCCCGCCCCAAGACAGCGCACTGTGCGCTCAAGGCGGTGCTGCCAACGTACACCCGACCAGCGCCCCCCTCGCTACCAACGCCGCTGTGTAAAGGCCAACGCCACACGCCGCAACTCCCAGTCTGCGCGCCGTCGCCCAAGAGCGAGTTCCGTAAACCGATCATAGTCGTCAGTAAGCATGCAATCGAGATGTCGATTCCGCGCCCCAAGAACGGCGAAGACCCCCAGACGCCGGACCGATCCCGGATCCAGCGGCTCGCCAAGCACACACCCGGCCAAACGATCTTCCACGCGGACATTGACTTTGACGGCCTCCGTCCGCTGATCGACATTGCGTATTGGTCGAGCTTTCCTGACGTTCGGCGCGACGCGGCGGCTGCTTTCTGCACGCTGAGCAAAAATGGTGAATTTTCTACGTATTTTTCCAATGATTTTCATGATTTTTGCGTTGGTGTAGCGGCCAACCTGGAAGTGATGGCCCAAGCCGGTGCGCTCGGCGCTGCGCTTTCACTCATTGCCAACACAAAAGCTACGATGGACCTCGCCATCTTGCGCGATGCCACCGACACGCTCGCCGAGCTCGTACAATTAATCACATATTCTTCTCGGTGAATCATCCAACCGTCTCTGTATGTAGGTGCAGCTACCGAGCATGCAGCACAAGCTGCTCTCAGCTCCCACAGGAATCTCGACAGTGTTTTCAATTCTCCGCATCGCCGACGTACGCGTCAAGCGTGCGGCGCTCAAGCTTGTTGCCCATCTGTTGGAAGTACCCGACGCATCGGCCCAGCTCGTGGCCCACGGCGGCTTTCTCACGCTGCTGCATTTTGTGCAAGCGCTCACGTGTCGCAGAGATCGGCAGCTCAAGCGCACGGCGGCAAGTCTGCTCTTGCGGCTCGCAACGCCAGAAGACAACAAGGCCAAAATCGCCGAAGACGACGCAATCCCACAGCTCTGCGCGCTCTTCCAGGACCCGTACCTCGAGGTCGATGCGGGCTTTCGAAAAGCGCTCCTGGACTGCATTTTGGCACTTAGCACCGAGCGACACGCGGCCCGACGGCTCTTGGAATGCCGCATCGTGCCGGCGCTGCTCTTTATCCTCACAACGGCGAGGAACCTCGAGCTCTCGCTGGTGGTGCTCTCAGTCCTCGAACAGTTCAGCGCCGACCCCCGCTTGGCGCTGCCCCTTCTGCAGCACGACGTGATCCCGACACTCGTGACGGTCGGGTTTGCAACCGACGAGTCGAACGCACTGTATCGGCCGGGCATGAGCAAGGCGCTAAGTATTCTTCTTCAGCTGTTAAAGCGGGAGGAAGCTCACGCCGTCGCGACGGATGTCGGGATCGTCGACCGCATCTCACAGTACAAGCTTTTCCTAGCCCCCGAGCGAAGCGTGCGCGACCACAGCATTGGCATTCTTGTGCTACTTGCCAAGCGGATGCCCTTGCCCAAGCGGCCGTATAACCCGCAGGATCGTGAGGGCAGTCAGGCGTGTCATCTGGAGCTGATTGCCAGGGGGTATCTCCACTGCGCCTTTGCGATCCTCAGTCGCCCAACGCCGGGGCCCAAGGATGCGTGGCGGGAGGGCGACGACGAAATGATCCATGCCAAGGTGCTCTTACTGCAAGCGCTGTCGCACCTCTCGGAGAGCGACAATGTGCGGCTTTTGCTCTGTAAACCGCCAGTTTTGGAAGCGATCCTCGCCATCGCGCGCCACAAGCTCGTGCTCGCAAGCTGCGCAAAGCTGCTGGCGGACCTCGCGACCAAACCCGACAACGTACCCAAGCTACTGGAGCCCCGACTGCAGCTCTTTCTACTGAAGTGTATTGCCCCGTCGTGCCGTGACGACGACGTTCGGTACACGGATCGAAACTCGAGAAAGGCTTCATTCTTATCTTTCAATTTTGGTCGATTAGCTATGAAGGCGCGCGGGCTTTTGCGGCGCTCTCGCTATTGGAGCAAGCCAAGGAGCACTTGGTCGCAACGGGTGTTGTGAGCTTTCTCCAGCGACTCGCCAAGCACGTGCGCTGTGAGATTCCACTGCTGCGAAGCACGGCGCTGCTCGCCCAAGCAACCGTTGAGCGCCTCAAGCACGACGCGGCGGCGCTGCGTATTCAGAGCGTCATGCGCAACTGGCGCGCCAAGCACGCCGCCGCCGGTGTCAAAGAGGCGGCAGCGACCGCGTTGCAGTCGCCACGGCGCCGGCGCTTCCAGCAACTGGCGCTGCGGGCGACGCGCCTTGTGGCGGCCGAGCACGAAACGCAGGCGAGCATCCAGCATCGTTTTCTGGCCAAGTCGACGTCGTCGTACCGTTGAACCAGTTGTCGACTCAAGAATGCAGGGCCACGTACGGATTCGGCCTGTTCCAAAGCGCTGTGGCGCGCGATCAAGGCTGAGGCAGCGGTATCTGTCGGGATAGATGGATAAATAGATAGCAAATACTAGTACTGCGTATGCGTTGATCACCAGGAAAGGACATGCCTGGCTCCCCACACCTCATGGGCACTGTGACGTGAGTCCTACCGAACACGGACCGGACCCGCGGTTGAATTTGCCTGCGATGAGTGCATCCAGGATACACCTCGGTGCCATGGCTGACAGATCGCGGGCATCTTGGCTGGGCAACTTGGTCGCTTGCTCAGATGGGTGCGAATAGCCAGAGACGTGGCGGCCAACCATTGCGCACCCACTCGCATCGGACCTGACGAAAGCAGCGCGCCAGCGCTCGCGATGACAAAGCCTACTTGAGATAGATAGATCACTCGTCGCATAGGTGCATCCATCGCGTGCAAACGCGACGACCGATCCCACTCGGTGGACTAAAAACACGCCTCTTTAGCCGTCGCCTGCGCGGCGCCAACACGCGCGCAAGGTCATCGCACGTGCCCCACCTTTGCTTCAACTCGTATATCTTTTGTCCCACGTACTGTCGCGGAGTGTCTGCGGCCTGTCGTCGCCTCAGGCTCGACGCCGCCATGTAGTGTCTTTGCAACGAATGGCTTCCGGCGGGCGGGGCATAGCATTACAAGCTCGTGTCCTCGGGCGCTTCGGTGACGTGCGACGATGCGGATTTCTGCGTTGGCCCACTCTGCAAAAAAGCGCGTTGGGTGTCAAATAATCGCCAAGGCGATCTTGGCTTCATTTTGACAGTTGCCGCCTGCCATGGAAGCCCCGCTGGTCAAGACCGGGCTCTCGACCGTCGACTCGACGGACGCACAAGCCATGGGCGTCAAGACGTTCGGGCCCGTGCTCACGGTCGCGATGGCGCTCAACTATATGATTGGCACGGGCTGCTTCGGGCTGCCGTACGCCTTTTCGATTGCCGGCATTGGGCTCACGTCGCTCTTTGTCATTGTCGGCTACATGGGCGCGCTCGTGACGCAAAACTACACGCTCGAGGCAATGGCCCGCGCGGACGGCGTCGCGACGGCGGCGCCCGGTGCGCTGCCGCTGAACCGCCTCACGTTCAACAAGTACGGCTTCTCGCGCATCGGCGAGATTTTCGATGGCAAGCGCGGGTACGTGACGGTGCAGTCGGTGCTCGTCTGCTACTGCCTCGGGTCGCTCTGGTCGTATGCGAGCATCTTTGCGTCGTCGACCGCGTCCGTCTTCTACACGTACGTCCTCGACGACGTCTGCGATGTGTACGCACCGCACACGACCCTCGGATGCATGGAAGCGTACTACATTTGCATGTTCCTCTTCACCGTCATGACCATCACGCTCGTGCTCATGGACCTTGGCGACCAAGCGGTTATCCAAAAATTCTTGTCCGCCTACCGCATCCTTGCGTTTGGCATCATGTTTGTCACGATGGCCTTCAAGCTCAGCGTCGACGGTGCGAGCGCGGTTGCGGACCGCCTTGCCGCGCGCGAGCACTGGGCGTTCAACCTGCGCAATTTTGGTGCTGGCTTTGGCCCGACGCTGCTGGCGCTCAACTGCCAGTACAACATGCCCGACTTGCTCCAGCCGGTCGAGTTCTCCAAGAAGGGCCTCGTGCGCCGCATCACGTACACGTCGATTTCGATCTCGGCGTTCTGCTACTTCCTGCTCGGTTTCCTCGGCTCGATCGCATTTGATTCGGTCAACCCGCTCGCCACGTTGATGTGGACCGACTTTTCCGGCTGTGGCAACGGCTGGTCGGTGTGCGAGTCGGGTCGCCCGACGTGGTACGGCTCGGTCATCCACATTATTGTCGTCATGTTTCCTGTCATGAACGTCGCGTCGTCGTTCCCGATGATTGGGCTCACGGTTGCCGGCAACATTCTGCCGTCGCTGCCGAAAGCCATCACGGCACCGCTTGGCCCGCGCCGGACCCAGGACTTTTCGCGCGTCCTTGCGGTCACGCCACCGCTCTTGCTTGCAGCGATCTTCAAGAAGCTCGACGCGATCTTTACGTATGCCGGGATCCTCGGCTTCGCCATTGGTCTCATCATCCCCGCTTGGTTCCAAGTCGTGAGCGTCAAGTACTGTCGCCGCGTCTACGGCAACACTGAGGCCGAGAAGACGCCGTTTACGGTCCCCGTCTTAAGCTCGCTTGCGTTCTCCACCGGGTTTCTGTATGCGATGTTTGTGGTCACGTTTGTCGCTGTCGTGTCGCTTTTTGCTTGATTTTGGAGAATTGATTCGATTATGACTCGTGGAATCCCTGCAGAAATGCCAGATGCCAAGAGTTCTGAGCTAAATATCGTGCTAGGTCGATGCGGCTGGCTATAAGTACTGAGCTGTCTACAAGATCTATAAGGTTGGCGGAATAAGATTGGAGCTAAGCTTATGCAAGGTCTAAGACGTTGGAACGCCGTGATGCTGGCATGCAACTCGTATTGATACGAGCTTGCGTTTGGGATCGCAAAGCAGCTTCGTGTTGGTCACTGGTGTCGCTCTACGTCAATGAAAACGTGCTGGATGATTGGCTACATTTCTGCGGGCAAACTCGACAACTTGAGAGCTGTCATGTCGCGTGACCAGCCACTTGATACTCCATCTTTCGGCTGAACATCACGCAATTTTGAATTACCGACGGCGTGATCGTCTAGATGGGCAATGTGGCGAGTCGAGCTTCGGTCCTTCGAGAGCGGGCGGCGGATGCGAGGTTGGCACACGACACGTAAGCTCAAGACAATATATTGTAGACTGGTATGCAGAGAAAAACCTGGGCCACTGATCGAGCAGCAGCTGAGCGAGGCGAGACGGGGCGTGTAAAACGAAGGACGTGGACTTGAACTGGGGTTGATACTTGGTTGATATCATGAGTCAATATTGACCCATGTTGATATGCAGCGTATCCGGCGTGGTTAACCGCCACAGCAATGGCCTTTGATGGTAGGTACAATCTCGCGCTCTGCCCGTCACGCGGCCGTACCTTCTGATCGCGTTTGGTGGGGGACGTCGGGTGCGTCCTCTTACGAAGCAATGAAGTGTGGTGGACCCCGAGCTAGGCGCTGACGACCTGCTTTTCGACGACCGCACTATCGCCGAGATCAACGTCTACGAAGGCCACTTTGGTGCGGCCGACTCGCAGCTGTCGCATCGCTGTCGTGCCCAGAATGACAAGCGCAGAGACCAAGGGAATTCACTTCGGGCTGAAGTGGTCTCCTGCTGGATGGTGTGTACCGTTGACAACCGCGTCTCTACGCGCCAAGTCGCACCTTCTCGGGGCTTCGAAGGGGCAAGCGATGAGCTCGACCTGTCGACGGCGACACAACACGCATTCGAGCCAAGTATGAATGTATCAATCAAAGGAAAAATTATTCCGTCGGAATCAAGAGACTCGTTTCTGTCTTGCGACTGTAACCAACAACACTACATTACTTGTTATGCACATGACATTTGTCGTAGCTACCACCAAACATCTTCATCGTCGCTACTTGCTCCCGAAGAAGGCGACAATATATCTACATGCCGTACGCGCTCCTGAAGGAGGAAGACCTCGAGTCGTGGACTGCGTTGGACGGACACCAGGCAGGCTGAGAGACCTCGCGGGCCCCCCGAGATGTCGAGATGCAAGAGCCGTGGCAGTTGGAGTGCGGCGACAACGATGGCTGTCGCCTCGGCCAAATTCAAACGGCTGGCGTCCATCGAGAAGTGCGTCAAGCGGGCGAAGGCAAGAGCGTCGACCACCAAGCTACCGCGTCCATCGAGGTCGGCCAAGGTCACGTCTCGCGAGTGCGGGCTTGTCGGTTCGCTCTTGAAGAGACGTAGACGGCGCAAATGACGTGGCAGCGGCTGCGACAAGAACGCTGGCACAAGATCCTTGTCGTAGTCGAGCTCAAGTTCCCGCAGCGTATTGCAGTTGCGTAGTGCTGTCGCGAGTACTGTGGCGTCGGTAGCACTGACGTTGACATCGGACAAGTGCAAGCGCGTCGCTGGTCGCGTCGACAGCCATTGAGTAAGGCACTTGACGCCATCGGAGGTCGCTAACAAGCTACCACCGATGAGGCGCAGGTCCACGACGTGCGACTGGAGCAGCATCTGCCACACGGCCGGCGCGAGTGACGTGGGAAAGGCATCATCGTGAAAGACGTACAGAGGCGGATTCATCTGGAGCGTGTACTTGAGCTGCGAGGTAATGACGCTGACAGCCCGCAGAGCTGGCGCCGACATCAATGCTTCAGCCAAGCTGGAGATGTCGAGCGCCGTCGCATTGGTCTGTAGATGCAACGTGCAGCTCGTCCATATACCTCTCGCAATGTTGATAGTCGCCGGCGCCATCCATCCGACAGCCGCACCGTCCTGGACATGCGGGTGCTCACGGCGCAAGGCGTCGATGGACTCGTTGCGCTGAAAATACGTGTCGATGTCAAAGATAGTCACCTCATTGCACATAACGTTGTACTGTACGACGGGCCAGAGGTCGTTGGGCCGCACAAACCAGTCGTCGACAAGGGCGAGGAAGCTCTGCCATGAGCCATCGAGGTCCGCGGGGTTGATGGCCTCGAGCAGCCTGCGCAGCGTGACGCCACTGGCGACGAAGCCAGCGATCGCGCGCACCAGCTCGGGCGTCGAGGCGACGGTCATCGCGCTGCGGCTCATGTGTGTGGCCGGCTTCCAGCGGCAAGCTGCTGCCGGGTTGTCAAAGGCGGTGGGTTGCGTTGTTTTAGTCCTTTCCGGATGGTTTCCAGCCAGAATCTACAGTCGTGTCCGGATGACTCTACGTATCCGGATAATCAAATGCACACCAATCTGCCACGTAAACGTACAAGCAAGTGCCAACGAGTGGCATATCATTGCATCAACTAGCCTTCCAATATACGCTGTATTTGTACCCACTTACAGTGTATTTTTTCACTTGGTCGCCTCGCACCCAGTCCAGTTGTCCGCTTGACAGTACGCTTATTGCGTGTCGCTCAATCAAGACGCTGCGAGTCAGCGCTACATGCCATTCAACGTCCGCACGTGACTTCAAGTTAAACTGATTGGGTGGAAGCGGACCGTCATGCAAACGACCGCGTCCGGTCAGCGACTTTGGCGGGAACCTTGACGATGACAATGTGTCTACAATGGACGGTGACGACTTTTGGACGGCACCAGAGCTTTTCAAGGCAAGACAATCTCTGTCGCAACATATCTTGATGGACTCGGTTTGCTTTTCACCTTTGTCAAAACACTGTATAACCACCCGCGCAAGAATACTACTCGCCGCCTCATGCGAATTGTGGCTAGCAACTTGCGCCCGACTGTACCAAAGCGCGTCCTCGATGGTACCACCAATTCGCACTGGATTGCATGCACCGCCCGACGGCTTCACACGTCGTCGCAACACTGCATGCGGCGATCGAAGACTTTACTTGAGCTTGAATCAAGGAGCTCGGTCGCGATCGTGCCAAGGCTCTAGCAATCACGCGCTAGCTCACTGCATGCATATCTTTTGGTTTACGAAGTTGAACACGCTGGACGTCACACGCTGCATCAACGCTCGTATTGCTGGTTTCAACGATAACATGCAGAGTTGTAGCGAAGTTGTAAGTTGAAGGAGTCGTCCTTCGCCATCCGTTTCGCAGATCATTGACGGGTCATCCGTGCACACGTCATGCATATCAAATGGCCGTGCCGCGGCCCAATCCCGCGCCGATGTACCCAGTGAGTAGGGTTCTGACATGTGCGGGTACACCATACGGTCCCTGATCATTCAGACCGTGCATTTCCTCTTAACCGCTGTAATCTCTAGTTCGCACTCTCTCGACCTTGCAGCGGACTTGTAGGACTATGGTCGATAACCATTTGGAAATGCAGCTCAAACGATGAAATATATTGCACTGTCTGCGCTATCCTGCACATTTTTGTTGGCGCTACGCGGAGTGTTGCGCTCGTTGTACAAGATCACTTCCGATCACAATCGAATACCTACCAATGTGAGACAACTCGTCCCAAGTTGGACTTCGTCTGTCCGCCAAGTGTCTGCGTCTGGCTCGAGTGCCCATTTTGCATTTCACACCAGTACTCATATGCAGCGCGCTTCCGACGTGGCTCTTCGCTACTCGACTGCGTCGATCGACAAGCTCAATACTGAAGCGTACGTCGGCGTGGCCACCCCGAAAATTGACTTGGAAGGCGGTGCACTCCGCGCCGGCGGGCCGCCCGTCTACACGAGTCGAGAGGTGCTTGCCCTCCTCTTCCAGTATGGCTGCGCTGGCATTCTCTTGGGCGGCTTCAGTAGCATCAGTTACCCGCTCTTCACGGGCTACTTCCATATGACCGGTGCGCAGTCCAACTCGGTTCGGACGCTTATGGGCCTTGGCTGGACGTGCAAGGTCTTCTTCGGCCTCCTCACCGACTGCGTTCCGATCTGCGGCTACCGTCGCAAGTCGTGGATCATCATCGGGTGGCTCTGCTGCCTTGCAGTCATGCTTGGCATCGCTTGCATGGACCTCGGGCGTCCGTACTACGGGGACCCAGCGCTTCTGGACATTCCGCCCGAGAATCTCACGGCCGCCGACCTCGCCCAAATCAACGAGTCGGCGCCGACGACGGGGGGCACGCTCGCGATCCTGATCGGCCTTGCGACTGCGTTCTACGTTGTGACCGACTCGGCCGCCGACGGGCTCGTCACGAGTACGCGCAGCGCGAGCCCGCGTCGGTGCGCGGACGCATTCAGTCGCTGGCGTACGCCGTGCGGACGGGCTTTTGCACGATCTCGATGGTGATTGTGGGCGTGTGCATGAACTCGCCGCGGTTTGCCGGCAGCTTTGACTGGGACTTTGGCGTCAACACGATCTTCATCGTCTTTTGCGCGCCGTGCGTGCTCATGCCGCCCGTGGCTTTCTTTTTCATTCACGACACCAAGATGCCGCCGTTCGACCTGCGGTCGTACCTCCAGCAGACTTGGGCGACGATCCAGCGGCGGGTGACGTGGCAGCTCGTCCTCTTCATCTTCTTCTCGCAGCTCCTCGGCGGCTACAGCCTTACGACGACCGCGGGCCCGTACGTCATGATGGTGTGGGCCAACGTCAAGAACCTCCAGAGCCAAATCCAGGCCATGGCGTATGCTGGTGTCCTCAGTATTGTCGTCGCGATCATTGGCAAGTACGGCACGCACTGGAACTGGCGCGTTGTCGTCGTCTCGACCACGCTCTCGGTGGTCGTTATTGACTCGATCGTGCAATTCTGCACCATCTTCAACGTGTGGCGGTCGCCCTATTTCTACTTGGGCGCGCCGCTCGTCGAGTCGGTGCCCCTCGGTATTCAGTACATTGTCACGACATTTTTGATCGCCGAAGTCGCCGGCGTTGGCAACGAAGGCATGATGGTCGGCCTCTTCATGACGACGTTCAACCTCCCGAGCACGGTCGGCCCGGTGCTTGCCAACATGCTCTACGCGTCCTTTGAGGTGGATGCGACTTCGATCAGCGCGGATTCGATGGCCACCCGATACCAAGTCGCGTACTCGTACGTGATTTACTACGCAGCAATGCTATTGTCGTGCGTTACGGTCGTGCTGCTGCCACCCCAAAAGGCCGAGTTGCACCAGCTCCAGCGCGACGCAGGGTCGTACCCGAAGGTTGCGATCGCCGTGTGCATTTTCATTGTCGTCATGTTTGTTGTTGCCGTCACGGGCAGCGTCCTCTCAATGTTTCCGTCGACGTCGTGCCTCTTGCTCGCGGGCGGGTCGGGCTGCGAGTAGATAGATATCACTCTAACACTAAGACTAAAGAAAGAGCTAAAGAAATAGCGTTTTCGTTTGTAATTTACGGTGGATGCCGCTGCTCTTATCTACATCGTACTAGTAGTCCATGGGTCGCATGCCTCGGACGTCTTTGACACCTGTGTGAGGTATGTCTTTGAGTTCTCAAGCTCTTAGCTGCTCTTAGACTACTCATGTGTGATGTCGCTGTGAGCAAAACTGGTAAATCCGGTTACCAATTGCGTAACCGGATGACCACCATCGACAACGATAGACTTGCCACGGATCGTGAGCACGACCCGTGGCAGCCAGCTGTATCAGCCAGATCGCTTGTAAGTGTTGGTGGCGTTGCCGCGCCCCTTCGTTGCGTCCAAGTCCGCCCAGCCACTCTACGTTTCTTGCTATCGCAATCATGACTTCGGCCCAAAGCGCGGTGGTCATTGCCTCAAAACCCGAGCTACTGCGCACCATTGTTAGCTTTATTGCATGCGGGACCACACTGCACGCGCTGCTTGACGCGTGCGACCGGAAGGACCTCGATGCCACGTGGCGGAGCTTTCTACGCCTCGTCGCCGAGTGGTCGTTGCCGCCTACTGACCTCTGGCCGGTTCTACAGTACGATGCCATGCGCCACGAGCTTGGCCACCGCGTCTGGACAGACTCTGACACCCAAAGCCTCTGGGGGAGCGACATCGACACGTACTTTCGCTGCAACAAGACCATCGACGCCATGCGCAGAGTCCACAAAAACGTGGTCGACGGTATCTCTGTCGGGTGGATGGCGCCAGCCACAATCAACATCGCGCGAGGCGTTTGGACGAGCTGCACGCTGTATCTGCAGGCCAAGGCCACGGCGCTCGACATCGCTCGCCTTGCTGCCGCGTTGGCGTCGGCGTCGGCTCTGCGCGCGGTGAGTGTCATCGCGCCTCAGGTGCGATATACGATCGAGACCAACCCGCCGATGCACGTCTTTGGCGACGTTCTCTTCCCGCCGTCGCTCGAGCCGGCCGTGTGGCGGGCGCTGCTCCAGTCGCACGTCGTGGACCTGCGCCTCGTCGGTGGCAGCTTCTTAGCGACCTCCGATGGCGTCAAGCGCCTTATTCAATGGCTCTCGACGCGACCAGTGATGCGTTTGCACTTGTCCGATGTCCACGTCAGTGCTATCGACGCCGCGGCACTCGCGACAGCACTGCGCAACTGCACAACGCTGCGGGAACTTGAGCTCGGGTATGACAAGGATCTTGTGCCAGCGTTCTTGTCGCAGCCGCTGCCACGTCATTTACGCCGTCTACGTCTTTTCAAGAGCGAACCGACAAGCCCGCACTCGCGGGACATAACCATGGCCGACCTCGATGGACGCGGCAGCTTGGTCGTCGACGCTGTTGCCTTCGCCCACTTGACGCACTTTTCAATGGACGCGAGCAATCTCGACGCGACAGATATTGTTTTGATTTCAACCGCTGCGCTCAAGCTCCCACGGCTCTCGCATCTCAACATCTCGAAGACACCGCGTGGGTTCTCTGCCACCGCCTCGCTGAACAAGTCCGAACATGCTGCACGGCTCGACGTCTATCGAATCGAAGAGCGACCCCTGTTCATAGCAATGGACATGTTTGATGGGATAAGCGATTACTAATGAGGTGTAATGTACGTTGGTCTAATGTACATATTGGCCAAACGCCTGATGCGGTCACAGAGCAATCAAACCTTATGGTCACCATGATATTTTGGGAATGCGTGCAAAAGTATCAAGTCCAAGTCCGAAAATATCACCGCATAGTTTCAACCATGGACGTCCTCAATGTAGCATTTGAGAATACGACGTTCCAGTACGATGGAGATGACCGTCCACTCAACAAAGACCCTCACGACCACGGCTCTCGGCGATTCCATCTCGCGCCCGTACGCGGCAGCGACACACCTCGACCCCGCGGTCAACGGCCCGCTAGACGCTACCGCGTCGCTGCTCAACTATTGCCTCCACGATTACGCTTAACGTCTTCGAGACGGACCCAAATGGCCGCGCCGATGCGCCGATTGGCCACGGCGAGGTGCGATTTAGCGGTGCAGCAGTTCGCGATAGATACGTTCAATGACGGTAGTGTGTTTGGTGGCGATTGTGACTACTAGTTACATGTACGAGTCGCAATCTCATGCATAAAACTTAAACTACAGTAGTGTTGACACAGGTTCTTTGGGTCCCTCTACAACTGAGCCTGCAACATGGCCACCACCGTGGCGGCTGTCGGACGAGTAGATGCATCTTGGGCCATGCACTCGAGCGCCAGCTGCTTGTACCACGGCGGGCACGACGCACTCAGCGACGGACGGAGTTGTCCCATCGCAATCTGCATCACACGTTGAGCGAGGACACCAGGTGCACCGCTGTAAGGCTCTTGACGGGTCTCAAGCTGCGTCAAAAGGACGCCGAGAGCGTAAACTTCCGATTCCTTCGACGTACGTTGGCCGCAGATCAC